CTTTGGCTGGGGCCTGGGGAGGGATTCGCGAGGCCATGGGGGGAGGGGGGAGAGAGGGGAGAGGGGCGATGCCGGCGTGCTGTCTGGGGGCCACGGCGGGGGTCGTGCGTTCGGCGCGATTGGTGGGACGCCTTGCGATCATGTCCAGCAGCATGCTGGAGAATGGGATGGCAGGGGGGGAGAGGTCGAGCCCAAGAAGGAGGACCTGACGCTCGCGGAGCTGGGCCCGCTGGGCGACAGCAGCCCGGCGATGGCGTCCTGCAGCCGGGATGCGGGGGGGATGGGCGGGGGGTGGTTCGAGGCGGGCTGCCCCCCCAGCTTCGAGCAGTGGGTGTCGTCGGCGTGCAGGCAGATATCCTCGCCGGAGCGGGGCTGCCCGGTGGCCTGCAGCTGGGCCTTCGGCGGGGGCCCCGGCCTGGAGGGGGACCCGGATGGCGGCCTGCCCGCCGGGGGCTTCCCGCCGCCCGCATGGGACGGCGGGGGATTCCCGCCGATGCCGCACATCCCCTCCGCGGGCAGGGCGCTGGAGATTGTGTCCCGGATGGAGGCCACGCCGCCGCGGCCCGGGCACGGCCGGAGCCCGGAGCTCGCGCTGTTCCACAGGGGAGCGGGGCTCGATCGAGATTTGGATGGCGGGTTTGGTGGGGCCCAGAGCGTCCACGGGGCCTCCAGCAGTCCGGGTTCGGATGCGGGAGGCCTGGGGGGCAGGCTGCCCAAGCTGGAGCAGGGGGTGATCCGGATGGGGGGGCTGGAGGACATCATGCGGAGCCCCCCGTCCAGGAGGAAGCGCAAGGCCAGCGGGCCCACCAGCTGGCGGGAGGCCTCCGCCTCCCGGCCGTCCAAGGTCCTGAACGAGATCAGCGAGATGGCGCGGCAGATGGTGGAGGACCGGGGGCGGATGGCCTTCGGCGAGGTGGCCGACCAGCTGGTGAGCCGCTTCCTGAGGGCGGCCCCAGGCCGGGAGCGCAGCATCAGCGCCAGAGTGCCTCAGTGCCTCAAGGGCAAGCTGTCGCGCCGGCTGTACGACGTGCTCAACGTCTTCGACGCGGTGGGGCTGATCAGATACCGAAAAATAAAGGAGGAGAAGCGGTCCGAGGTGCATTGGCGCGGGCTGTCCACTAGCATCCAGCCCCTCCTCGACCGCCTGACTGCGGAAAAGGAAGATGTGCAGCGGCAGGTCGATGAGAAGCGTGCCGAGCTAGCAAAGTTCGTGGACCATTTCACGGCCCTGCGGACGCTGGTGCAGAGGCACAGGGACAGGCCCCTGGCCACGTGCGCCGACGGCCGCCACCCCGTGGAGCTGCCGTTCATAATCGTCCAGGTGGCCGCGCGGGACGCAATCGAGGTGCACATCTCCTCGGACGCCCGCGCGGTGGCGTTGGACCTCAAGGACGTGCCGTTCCAGATCCACGAGGACATCGACGTGCTGCGCAGCATGGGGCTGTGCGACGGCAGGGACCCGGGCGGGGCGGGTGGGCGCCGGGGAAGGGAAGGATCGGGCCCGGGGGCCGGGCGGGGTCGCCGCGGGCCCAGGGCGGTGGGCCGCAAGGTGTGCGCCTACAGGGCGCCCGGTGGGGCCCGGGGCAAGCGGCGCCCAGGGGAGAACGCCGAAGGGAGGGCCGTGGCGCTGTGCAACCACCTGCAGCTGGCGGAAGGCGAGAGGGGCGAGGGGGGGGGCGGGAGCCCGGCCGATGGGGTGGACGCCTCCATGGAGAGGCTGAGCCTTTCGGAGGCCAAGCAAGAAAGCCCGGAAGATGATGGGTGCTGAATGGCTCCGGGCATGGGGGGGGGGGACTGTGCTGGGGTGGCGGCTTCCAAGGGAATGGAGATGTGGTGATGGCCTGGCGGCATTCAGGCGTTCGGGGGTGGCGTGGGCTGGACGATTTGGGCCGGTCTGCCGGTGGCAGCCCGAGCAGCAGCACTACGGGAGCGGCGGCTGTCTTATTATGTAGTATGTGGTTCGTGGCCGTTGAACATTTTGTTGTTAGGATGGTCGGTAGCGTGAGCCAAGCAGGCGGAGCGCGCGAGAAGAAAGAGGGGGGGTTGATTGGGATTGGCGAGGATGGACGGCGGGTGTGGACGGAGGGCGGCAATTGTATGTACCGCATCGCGCATTGGCGTGCGGGCAATGGATATTGAGTGGAAGCTGAGACCGCGGAGCATTGCATCGTGATCGTTATTGCTGAATAACGAACGACAACGGGCCTGTCGCTGGACAGCAGTCGGTGCACGCGAGCTGTGGATCGCGGCTCTTCAGCAGTGCCATGGCCTGTCCACTGGCAATGGGAAGGCACCGACGCAGCCCCATGCCAGATCGCCGGCTGATCGTCTGGTTCCACCGGGAATCATGCACGGTGTTCTGCATCTTGCCACATATGTGGCTCACGACCGTTGGCCAAACTGGTCCCCTCCCCCAACTAGTTGCACACTGGTATGTATGGTATACATGCCAACGTACATTGTATACCAATGTGGAATGCATACGTTTGCACATCCAGACCAACTAAAATAAAAATCTTCCTTTTCACTTTATTGCAGCGCCAATCCTTGTGAACAAATTGTATTTACTGTGCGCTATCCAGAACTTCAGCAAGACAACAGGTGGAAGACAACAGGCCCACGAGAACTAGTAAATTAGAACTGGCGTGCACATCTTTCACTCGCAGGTCCATCCATAATGGGTGAAGTAATAAGCACATTATCAGGAAAATGTGGTACACCCAAGTAATATAAAATACTAAGCTCTGGCCAATTAACCAAAAAATAATGTTAATAGTTGACAGTTAAGCTCTGAAGCCGACTCCCAGCGTTTCCGTTCTGGTTGCTTTGTTTCAAGGACTTCTTCAACGGCGACCTACAAAGATTAATGGGGGATGACAGGCAAGCGCTCCATGTTGAACGAAACTCTCGCTGAGCATTGCGGACAATGGCAGGTGCTCGCAATGGAATGTGGAACTACCATTCCATAGTAGTGCTGACATTTATCACCAGTAGAAAACGGCACGTTTGCGATGCCAACTGCGATGCCATCTTGACACAAATTGACGCCATCACAGCCGCTTTTATGCCGTCGCAATCACAGCGACGGCATCACTTTGTGTCAAAATGGCATCGCAGTTGGCATCGCAAACATGCCGTTTTCTGCCAGTGTATGGTAGCTGTTGACACTGTGTTGTGGTCCGTAGTACACGCCGGGATGGTGGTGTCCATCACATGCAGGTGCTGCCCTTGTCCAAGTTGCTGACAAGATGAATGGCAGCTAAAATTGCTGGAATTAATGCTGAATACCACTATAAATGAATATCATTATATAATTATTTGCAAACATATGATGTGTAAGCGCATCATCCTAAAACAACTTTAAGCATTATTGCAGCAATGTCAGCAGTGACTGATTGCTCTGGCTCGCGTTTGAATGGAAGCAGTCCGTGAAACTCCACCAACGTCTTCCGTCATGTTTTATTGTGCAATTTTCACCCGCAGCCACCGCAACAGCACCGCAAGCTCGCAAACGACCATGGGCGCGATTGGTGTCCCAAGCGCCAGTACATTGGCGGCGCTAGGGCGCGACCCGCTGACTTGCGCCGGGTTCATTGCCCTCCCTTTGACCTCCCAACGGCCAGCCCCGCCAGTTTCTACGGGAGCCACCCAAAACACAAGGTTTCACGGCACCCCTCCCAGCAAACTTGCCTGGAATCCCCCCTCCAGCCTGGCCGCCCTCCGGTCCCAATATGGGCCTTGGGAATCGCAGCCCCCTGCCCCAGGCGCCTGGCCCCCAATTGCTGACCAGATGTTCGCCGTTGCCCCTCTTCAGGCCTCCATTCATACTCCTTGGCAAGCATGGCCCCCCCCAACAGCACGTTGCGCCCCAAGGCGAATCCCCGGGCCCTTTTCTGCTGGTGCCATCAAGCAGCGCGGACGGCGGCCCCAATTGACCAGCTGACCAATTGGGTCAGGGGAGCCTCGGGTCAAGGTGCCGCCTTGCGGGTCAGCCGCGGTCAACGCGTGGGCCGCGTTGACAGCGGCTGGCCCGCAAGGCGGCGGCGGCGGCCGCCGAAACTGCCGCCGCGCGCCAGGCACCCAGGAGGGGGGCGCGGGCTCGGCAGCCCAGACTGGACAACGCGTCCCGAGACAGAATGCGTGCAGTTTCTGTCGAGGCGCCGAAGCCGGCTATCCTTGCATCGAATATCCGTAGCACGGGTATTCGGTGTACCGATATTCGGTGTAATATCCGTACTACGTAGTATACTAATAAACTGTATACGAATGCGATATTACATCCGTATGGATTATTATTGCATCCATATATGGATATTCATACGGTTCGATACGGCGCACCTTGCATCGACCCGCGCGCCGGTGGTCAAAATCGCTGTTCCCTCGCGCCGCGAATCCGACGTCATCTTTCAGCGCGGCCCGTCATGCCTCGCGCCCGCCCTCCTCCGGGCGGCTCACCCTCAGCGCGTGAAGCCTAGTACTCCGTCCCTTCACTCCGCCGCAGTAGTTTATTTCGTCGCGTGCCCAACACGACCCCACGGGCGCGACCCGCGCAACGTCAATGTACTCAGTACCTAACGCCCCGCCCCGGGGCCATATCTGTCCCTCGAATCTGTCCAGCCCGCTAAAACCGGCCGTGCCAATCTGTCGCCCGCTGCCGGCCATGACGTCATGCGCGTCATCCCCCCGCCCCCATTCTGTCCCCCCTCACCCCCCTCCGCCCCTGTGCACCGTTTCTGGCGGCGCGGCCGGGGCGGCCTCTTGGCCCCCACCGGCGGCGTTTGCTGGTGCCTCTCGGAAACAGCAAACGCCGCGGTGGCTGGCCCAGCACGCTTGCGTCCCTCCAAGCCCACCCCGCCACGCGCAAGCTCACGCTTTCGCCGGGCAACGCTGTGGGACGTCAGCAAGGCGTCAGGTCGCGCAACAAGTTCATTCATCGGTGGTTAGCCGGGCAGCCAAGCGTTGGCATCATCCCTCGAGCCGAGCCGAGCGTGGGGGGAGCCATGTCGATGCCGTCGCCTTTCAGTGGCCCCGAGGAGGCGGCCGCCGATGCCCTGGCGCGCAGGAGCCTGTCCGAGGCGCTTGGGAACGAGGTCCTGCGGGAGGCGTCCAGGCTCCTCCGCATGGCGCCCACCTCCCGGCACGCGCGGCGCCCGGCCGGCGATCGCCTCCGCTGGCGCCGGCCTGGCGTGGCCGGAATGGAGCGTTGCGATTCGCGCGGGATCGACGGGATGCCGGGTGTCGGGATGTCAGTGCCGGGGGGGTGGGCGGCGGGCGGCGGAGAGTCCTGGGGGACGTTCGCGCCGCAGGCGGTGGGCGGCTGGGTGGCCGGCAGCGCGCTGGACGTCCAGGGCCCCAGGGAAGCTCTCAGGGGGTGGCGGCAGCGCCTGGCGTTTCCTGGGGAGCCGAATGCGCCCAATTTCGGCCGCGGGTGGGCATTCAATCCGATGGATTCATCCAACTTGGCGCCGCACGGCTCCGGGGGGGAAGGGGACTACGGCCAGAGCGGGAGATGGTACTCGGCGGCGGAGCGCGGCGGAGCGAGGGGGGAGGGCCAGGGATCCGGGTGCTGGGATGGGGGCCCCGGATGTTTGCCGCGAGGGCGGGGGCAGGCGATCGGGGCAATGGGGGGAGCTGGGGTACCCCCGGTGCCTGTGTGCGGCGGCAGCCCGGGCAGGGTGGGGCCCGGGAACTGGAGGTTTTCGGAGGCGGGGGCGTTCGGCCCCGGGTACTTGGGGACCGCCGCGGGGACCAGGGCGGACGGCCCCAGGAGCGCCGAGGATGCTCGAGAAGACGGGGACGCGCAGCGTGGAGGCGCCAGGTTGCGATGCGGCGCCTACGGCGCGCCGAACGCCCAGAGGGACGCCCTGTACCTGGACGGCGTGGCGGCTCAATTCGGCGGCCAGGGGGCGAGCCAGTTCGTGCGGCAGACCGTGGAGTGGGGTCCCGCGATGGAGCTCGCCGCGCTGGGCCAGGCGGCGATCGGCAGCACCGGGGCGGCCGGGATGACCTCGGGCCACTTCGGCGACTGCGGCGGCCTGGCCGGGTCGACGAGCTCGGCGCTGGACGCGAACGGGGGATGGCAGGCGGCCGGAGTGAAGGGGTCCGGGCTGCCGGCTGGCGGTTTCAGGGTCCAAGACGGGGTAAGTTTCCAGGGACTGGGGCCGGATAGGGGCTGGGGTCCGCCCCATGGCGGCCCGGCGGGGCTCGAGGCCTATGCGCAAACATCCCAGCACAGCGATCCGCCTAACGAAAGCGATGCGCGCGCGATCGGCGAGGCGGGCGGGAAGAGGCCGGCGGCGACCGTCGACGGGTTTGCGCGGCATTCGGACATCCATGATGCGGCCCGCGCGGCCGAAGGGCGACATGCAGCAAAGTACATCTGTGGCGGGCGCCAGGCGGGGAACAGACACGCCGCGGTGGACAGGGCGGGGATCGGCGTCGATGGTGAGATTGGGATGGGAGAGAACCCTCGGAAGGCGAGGAAGCAGCCGCCCGCGAAGGGCGAGAGGGCCAGTCCGCGGTCGTCCAAGGGGCTGAAGCAGACCAGCCTGAGGGTGATGGCCGCGGTGAAGCAGCAGCGCAGGATGAGCTACACCGCCGTGGCAGAGGAGCTGGTCGCTGAGATCGCGAGCGTGGCGCGGCGAGAGTCGGGGGAGGAGTTCAGGGACGGCTCGGACAACGACAACCTCAGGCGGCGGGTGTACGACGTGCTCAACGTGCTGGACGCGGTGGGGGTGATCAAGAAGGAGGAGAAGCAGATCTGCTGGCGGGGCCTCCCCGAGTCCATCGCGCTGCTGGCAGATCAGCTGCGCACGGAGAAGGCCAAGCTGCAGGAGGCGGTGGATGAGAAGCGTGCGCGCCTGGCGCAGCTTGCGGAGAGCTTCTCGGCGCTGGAGGGCATTGTGAAGAGGAACGAGCACCGGCCCATCGACCGGTGCCCGCAGGACGTCAGGGTCCTGCCGCTGCCTTGCATCATCATCCGGGCGCCCGCGGTGGGCGCCATAGAGGTGCAGATCAGCGAGGACCTGCGCAGCGTCAGGATGAACTTCCACGACGTGCCCTTCGAGGTGCACGACGACATCTACGTTCTCAAGAGCATGCGGCTGCACGTGGGCGCGGGCCTTGACCCCACGGGTCGCGGCCCGGGCCGCCGCGCTAGGGCGCGAGCGTCCCCGATGTGCGGTTCGATCCTGCAGGGGTTCAAGGGGGTGTTCGCGGCGCCGATGCTACTGTGCGCGGACGGGGAGGCCGGTGCGTCGGACGCCATCGACTCTCTGGACGGGATCCTGCGGCCACCCCCGGGTGGCGGCCGGCAGGGGCCGGGCCCCAGGTCCCCCGCAGCGGACGCCAAGAGAGCCCAGGATGTCGCGTCGGTGTAGCCGCGGGCGGCGCGGCGGAGTGGGCGAGCTGAAAAGGAAGTCGCCGAAGTCTGATCAAGGCGTTAGATAAGATCACCGAAGACTACTGATCAAGGCACTAGATGACGTTGCTAAAGACTGATCAAGGCATTAGATGCCTTCCCCAAAGGTCTTGATCAAGGCATTAGATGTCGTCACGTCGACATTTGTGTGAGGCTTGTTCCGCTGGTGTCAGTTGAGCCGGGTCAGTGTCGCCCACCGACGCTCGATGGTGGAGCAAGTGCCGGGAGAGTGCGCCCACCCCAGCGCTTCTCGGCGGCTATGGGATGTGTGAATCGATTCGCTATCGGCTGAATCGGCAAGCGGCGGCGACGGCGTGGGCGTGCGGTGTGGCGGGAGAGACGTCTGTTGGGAGTGGCGGCATAAAGCCGTCGAGGGGCGTGTTTGTGGACATGGCGCACTCGGCGCCTAGCGGCTTGCGGACAGGGCTGGGGAGCTGATCAGGCGGCTGAGACGCGCGGACCCGCGGGCCCGCGTTCGCTCGCCCTTCCGTGTATTCTTTGTGATCATCGGCGCCTGACAGGCCCCATTTTCTCGGGCTTTCGCCCAGCGCCAGATTCCGTTCTCCATGTTCTGGGATCGAGAAATGGAGCCGCGGTGTCCAGCACAACAGGCCGCCACCGCTTTGGGGCGGTGGCGACGGCTCAGGGGCAAGGTCGATTGCCGAAGTGGCCGGGCTCATTGGACAGGACGGGCGGGGTCCGCTCAAACGGAAGTCGGGCTTGGTCGACGACGTCTACCGCCGACAGAAGGCAAGCAGAGCCTCAAACTCGAAATGTCGTCACTGAGTTCCTGACTGGAACGAGTTTCAGTTTTTAATGGAATGATTTTGATTGAATTTGATTGGAAAAGGGCGTTACATGACATGCCCTGCCTGGCTGTTTGCCCACACCCTCGTTCTGATGAAAGCAACAATCCAACGGTCTTTGGCATCATAGCATGTCGTTCCCGGAAACTGCAGTTACATTGACCGGATTCTGGACGTCTGCGTGGCAGAATAATAGCTACTGCGCACGCAACAGTCCTGACTCGTCAACCACATCAGCAAGCGTTTTGGGGTGGCAACACTGAGCGCAATCGACAGCGTGGCTGCAAAGGCTCGGACGAAAGAATGCCACATTCCCGCTTGCCCTAGCCTGGAGCAGGGACAGGGTCCACAGCCAGGCAAGCGTGTCCATTCACAATCTCAGAAGCTAGAGCTCAAAGCACGCCTCAATATGTGCAGGGAGCGTGTAGCGCAACTGCTCCACACCGCATCAATTGCAATGTTGTCATGCTGCATCAACCGGGCCAAACTTCACAATGTTCCAATTGTGCAGACCGCATACCGTAGGTGTTTCAACCGCATCAGAAAATTTTGCCGTTGTGCTTTCTGCTCTGCATTCTGTGTTCAAAGGCGTTATTTTCATTACTTTACATTATGTCAAAGTTCCTTAGCCAACCTGGTTCGAGATCCCGCTCGTCGCAATCGAATGCGCACAACGATGGACCACCATGCAGCACGAGTCAAACCGTTTTGGTTCGACCTCTGTTGCAACCTTGGTGCACGTGGTGCTCAAACGCCCTCGCCGTGCATGGTCGGACAAGCAGCCGAGACTCAACTTGTCTTACAACCAAACCAAGAAAAGCCACGAACAAATCTCGGGCTCTCTTTAAGCACCAGAACGGGCCTCTTTTTTCGCCAACCAGCACACACACTCAAAACGCTGGATCGAACTCACAATTCACACATGCACAACACGCTACCCCATAGCACCGACCCATGTCTTCGACCCAAAGCACCGACTCACAGCTCCAACCCATAGTACCAAGTCATGATCACCAAAATTAGTAAGATTGAAGCTGGTTGTTGGCTTGCCGTCCTCCCTCCATCTCAATCAGGTCAATGTGTGCACCAGTCAGCCAGCACATGCACAGGTGCTTGCACACAACATGGCAGCTGCGGCTGGCTTGGTGTGACAGACTTTCATCTCTTTAAGCTGGCTTGTTAATCTGTGTTCACTTCTCTCATTTCGTTTCACTGCACATCAGTGTTCAGCCACCGACCTCCAGTTATAAGAACTGGAAAGTTGCATGTGAAAACATCGAGAAAAGGTGACAGCCATTCAAAGATATTGTTGATGGCATTCCTCGAAACGGGATTCTCATATGCCACCATTTAATCATCGGATTGCATATCAGTAATTGACGGAGGCAGATCAGTGGGCAATTACTGGTAATTCGAGCAGTTTGTCTGCAAAAACTTTATTAAAAGAGCGTAATTTATTTTATTGTTTCTCCGTAGAGAAAGGCGTTGCCCAGCGTTACATTACTATAGAAGAAGGATAAAAAATATTCAGTACACCAGATCCGGGGCCCCTGGCTGGTGATGGGTAGGCGGAGGTTTCCGTTGGGCGGTGCACATGGATGCGCTGTCACCAACGCCGTTATGAACGCTAGTACCAAAACAGGTGCAACATTCAACTTCCTTGTCCACAAGCACGCTTCCGGTGATGTTACTTCGACAACTCAGCTGTGCACCGTCGATAGCAACATTGTTGTCAAAGAATGTCAAAGAAGCAGAAGCACAAAGCAAACAACATGTTGGAACTTAGCAACAGGGTGGTGCCTGGGATGGATGGGCTTGCTGGGTCTTGGAATGGGATACACAGCATTGGTCTGCTTAAATGCCTTGTCAAGCCCAAGTCCGGGCACGCCGGCAGAGCACATCCCGCCTGTGCGCGGGCGACGACCTCCAGATGCGTATGTCGAGACACAAGACCGTGCTTCAGGATATGCAACACCTGTCCTCGAGGCACAGCAGCCACCAAGCTCAACTCCCATCAATACACTGCTTGGCAGATTCAGACACGCTTTGTTTCGCAAATTTTCAGCTCAGCCGGAGGCCCTGTCATCCAGGAGAGCCGCCACTCGGTTCCACGTCAGCCCTCCCCCCGCTCCAAAACCATCAAACACGGCGGCAGCATCAGGGAAGCTGCCTCGCCGGGACAGTCCCGCGGGCACGGCCAGAGACACCGCACCCGCAGCCGATGCCGTCTGCAGGGCCGCACAAAACGCCAAGTTATCATCGATACTGCACATCACGTAATATGCACCTATTGCTGCTGTAGCCAGTGCAATGGCGGTCAGCATGCACCACACATTGGATGCCGCATATGGACGTATGGCCAACATGAGTCCAAGAGTTGCTGCCAGATGCATTGAGCGTCCAATGGACGATCCTTCGGATGCATTTATCCAATCGGACGAAGCCACGCCATGCACCCACCATTGGTCAAAATTGGGCACTCCACATGACTTACTTTCATATTGAAACGTGCGGATCTGCTCAAAATCGTGTATTAGTATTGCAAGTACAGCGGTGCAACTGTAGCAGTGTAATAGCAGAAGTGCGACAATCGCAATTTAAAGGTAGTAGTAGCAGTTAGAGACCTACCACTACTGCAACTGTTTGTAGTGTGCTTTTATGATAATAGCAGCAGGTAATGGACCCATTCACTTTCCCAAGTCGCGCCCTGCCAGAGACTCATCACAAGCTTACAGAAGGACAGCGGCGGGCTGTTCAACATCTGTGCATTACGTGGTAACCGACGCCACAGCCACGAAACGCCGACTCATCCTGGCGCTCTGTCAGAACTGTGCGTGTCTGTCCGCGATTGCATTGTCAGCGCATCATGACTTCGATTGACAGAAATGTGCTGTGTCCACCTCCTGCCATGGCAGATTCTTAAAATGCGAAAGAGAGGGCTTCTCTTCTTCCCCTTTTATTCACCTTTTGTCTTTTCGTCCTTTTCGTGTTTTTCCTTGTTTAAGTAAGGGTGCCCCATCGCACCACCCCATCGCACCACGTGCTTCTCTCTTTCCTTAAAACGGAAACCCTCTCGTAAGCGCAAGGCCTGTGGGCCATCGCCTTGAGACAAACGTGAGCAACGGATTGACTTTGGAGGTCTTCACTGATGAATTTTGGCCCGCTGTACCGAGCTGCACACGAGGATTTCCATTTTGCAGTATCAAAGGCGCCTTGAACGTTGCTGTGGACATATCGAATTCGGGATTTTGAATGACTAATTGCTGAGTGAGTGGTGACTGCTTGATTTAATTGACTGATGCATTTATCGACCAACGCAGCGCCCCCAGTTGTCGGTTTTGTCATGCACGCCCTTTCGCTACACATCAATACATGCATCCATACCAGACTAAGCGCAACATAACACACACGTCACGCACTTCGAAGTAACGCATTGCCGCTATAGGGTGCATCAAGGCATTCTCATAAATGCGCTGCCCTGTGCCGCAAGGGATGACAGGCATGCACCCGTGCGCAGGGTGCTCGAATGGACACTAATGCTTCTCTCTGCCAATACTGTTTGGGACCCTACATCGGCTCTTGCTGGAAAAGGGCCCACCATGCTTTCCGATTTGCGGGGGAGTCCCTTTGTTCGAACTATCGTGTAATACATTGGAATTAAAAAAAGAACATAGAAGCACCTGTGCCGTGCCGTTGCTTGCCACCACCACTGCACAATCCTTCAGGGAGCATCCCATTGCCGCAACCACAGCCGCCAGCCACGGTGTGGTGACACCTGCACCGAAGATTCGCTCAATCCAAACAGAGAAGGACGAGAAGTGCATTGCGAAGTCTGCACCACGCCGGCGCATCACGGATGCATTCGAACATGCAACAGCTTGGGGCTTGCATTTCATCTCTTCTCGAAACTACACAGCTCATTCATTCTGCGCGCCGGTACCACAACGATGTGGCAAAGCCATGATTACACATGCCGCACGCACACAACATATGTGAGACGTGCGCGGTACCTATCACGAGCGACAGCATTTTTCGTGTGGGGATTTGGTCGGTGACAACGAGGCCACAGACCCACAAAAGCGTTGCAATTTTGCAGAGAAGCTTTGCAGGCACCTGTTGAACCTCGAATTGGAGTGCATAGCTGTGCCGCGCATGCCCCCATCGCCTTTTGGATGAGTCTACCGCATGATCGCTCAAAAATTCTGAGCAACACATTGTGCACAATTATTCTTGCCCTACAGTGAGCAACTTCAGCAAAAGCCTTTTGGCCGCATTCTCTGCTGGCGCAGCAACTTGTCGACGCAAACAAAAGCGCATTCTCCCAGCATTCACTTGTACCATTAATCTTTATATTACCATGACCTACAGCAGCGAGAATACTGCTTACTGACACAGTTTTTCAAGAATTAATAGGTGATGGACAGCGTGTGTCCTGGGTGTTTGCCGCTGCTGCCATTTCTGATAGTCTATCAAGAGCTGAAATTGCCGTGGCACTGGCCCACGAAAAGGCAACCAATAATGTCCATGTCCCAGCGTCAATGTCAGCCATAGGGCATGTGCCAGGGCCTGTGGAGTTGTATGTGGACAGGAAATTGGGAGTCCCATTAGTGCTGCAGGATTGTTGTCAAAACCCCTCACCTGCATAGTAGTTAGTGCACCCCAGGCCCAAAGAAATCGTTATGACGATCTCGTGAATTCAGCAAAAATTCACAGCAACGCCACAGAGGCGTGGAATGGCAATTCGCTGTCACGTGACAACTGCGGTGTGCTTCGTTGACTTTCAAATCGAGATAGAATGGCAGCATCGCCATCAGCAATACAAAATATGATAGCTACAAACAAAGGAACGTGCCAACCGGTATTACTGTAGTGTATTCAACCCTTCTGTATCAAACAATTTGACAGTTGCGCTTTTGCCCTGCACGTTTTTTTCAGAGCGCTACTTTTATGTTTTTAAATTTGCTCTGCAAATTTTATTAGAAGAGCGTTGTTTATTTTGCTGTTTTTCTCCCCAGAAGCAGGCCAAGTGTTAGGTTACTATGCGGAAGGGTTGAATATACTACGGCTCTGGAATAAAATATGGATCATTTTCATCAACGGCCGTCATTCAGTTGGCTTCAAACGATGCAACTGTTGCCCAAGGCAGAGTGCAATTCACGTAACCAACTGCCTTCCGTACTTTCAAATCAGAGCAAAATTTGGAACATGGCGAATGCAACAACTGACCAAAAGAGTGCCACCAGCACTGTCCCACCTGGTGTTGGTCCTGCCACAAGCGCCGGGTCAATTCTGATCGACAAGCTGTCAGACTCGATTGAAGCAACAGTGGAAACGAAAGCCTCCGCCTCCCTACGCTTCACCTGTCGGTCGTTAAAGACGGTCGCTCAATGCAGCATCAAGGCAACACAGTGGACACAAGAACATTTCATTCTTTTCGAATGGTTTCTGATCTACACGGCGCCCTGCTCCCACACTCCTTGCCCCTACTCATGGTTGCAATTCCCTTCTTGAGAGAGAGTATTTATTCAGACATGAAAAAATTTATGGAGAGTTGCACTGCCTTGCACTTTCTTGTTAGGTGGCACAAGGCCAGCATCCCTTCTTCTCGGATGGGTACGCACCCATTGTCTCAAAGTGATGGAGTACATAGCAATATGGAAATTCCTGTCGGTGCTGCGCACAGGACCCAAGTGCCCTGCATTTGCTTGCTCCTTTAGCATGGCAGGCCTATGCTGATGGTGCCCTACTCTGCCCTTTGAGTGCATGTTTTATGATACATCCTGCTCTGTGCCACCTTCTGTCCCTGCTATATTTGAAGGCACAACTTTCATCCCGTGGCAACTAGGCTCACAACACTCCTGCTCATTATGGGAGTGGAAACTGTACAGTCCTGCTGTTTCTATCTGTTAAAGCAAAGACAAAAGGAATAACGAAACAAGTCACACTTGAGATGACATCGAGCGACCTGTGATGCACTGCAGAGGTTGTGTCGTACTCGCTCTCCACCATGCTTGAATTACCTTTCCCTAAATTTGTCCAAACATGGCAGAATGCAGCCGCGAAAAGCAAACAACACCAAAGAAATGGTAAGAGAAGAAAAAACAGAAACAGCAACAATGGCAGTACAAGCAGGGCCTTTTCACCCGTCCAGCAGTATTGAACAACCAACAAAGGACGCAACAGCAGTGTCAAAGTGCAATTCGCTTTCTTCCCACCTCTGCCATGCTGTCCTGCAGGCCCTTGTGCAGCTCATCAAAACCGGAATCAGCATCCATTCCTGGAAGCTCCTTGCCAGGCTGCTGTGGAAACACTCTCAGCTTCCTGGTGCGCTCCCCCCCTATCTGCCTTGCCAGCCACCCCATGACGTCATCCTCCACATCTGACAGGGTGCAGGAGATGATTCCCAGCTTTGCACCACTTTCAAGGGCAGCATCGATGAATTCCAGGCAGCCTGTCAGCCGCACCAGCTTGAGTGTCATTCTGTGCACCAATGGTAGATCCCCAGGCTGAAAACTGATGGGAGCCCCTGCCGTACCCTTCCTAAGGCATAACATTTAAGTACACTTGATTTATGTCTATATATATACATTTGAATACATCAGCATACTCACAGGAGGTTGCAATCTTGACTGCATCACATTTGAGAGCCCAGGTCCGGCCCGATCTTAATGCAAGCTCTCAAACATGGTGCAGATCCACAGATGGCCATGCATGATCAGGCACGATGTCAGTCACAATTTGCTTGCACCACCGCCTGTGTCCGCTGGAGAGCACAGAACTGAATGCACATAAAACAGACTACAGTTTTGACACTCACATACCCAATCATCGTCTGCAAGGTGCAAGAACACTGTGTTGTCTCACAAAGGCAAGTGCAGCCCATCTAGTCATGACCATCAACAATCTGTTAGATAATGTATTTATTGTCACCTGAAGTCACAAAGACCCTCACAATGAACTTTTAAACCTTTACTGCAGAAGCACAATCTGAATCAGTCATTACTTTTGTACAGTCAATCTATGGCCCCCAATCACATATCCATTATTCACGAATTGACAGTGGCTTCTTGTCGATTACCAGTTGTTTTCAACTTTGGATCGCCGCTCAATCACCCAAGCAAAGGCGATGAAGGTAACGGGCACTCATTCGTTGTTCAGTTGTTCACTAGTCCACTGTTGTTCAGTCGTTCAATAGTCCACCGTTCTGTTGTTCAGTTGTCCATCGTTTGCAGCACACAACCAACAGAAGTTCCAAGCATGTGATGCTTTCAAGACAAAGACTAAGGTACCAGTTGTTCTGTTCATATCAACATATTGCACTGGTGTTCTACAGCAATATTTGTGTCAATACCCCAACAATAGTCACATCGAATTTTGGGTTATTGCTGGCAGGCATGCAAGCACCTTGCTCTGTTAGCCTCACCAGGGCGCAGCGGCACTTTGTCCTCCTCTAGCAGTTTCCTCAGATTCTTCTTCTTGTACTTCAGGACGCTGGTCACAAACTCCTTCCTCTCTGTTGTCGCGACCGCCATCGGCCAGCCTATCTGGCACAAGCTTTCATCACTGTACATTGTTTGCAAACAGTTTGCTCAAGTGTGGTTGTAAACACAGAGCTGTACAGGCAGCAGTGAACAACGTGCTGCTTAGTGCTGGATGTTTGCTGCAAGCTGGAATTCAGAGCAGGCATCAATCAGCCCTTCGGCAGCTTCTGCTTTCACTCTCCTGTTACGTGGCACAAGGCCTGCACGTACTCCGTTAGAAGAGGGTCAGAGCTGACCTTTCAAATATGACAATGTATTTTGGAACAGAAAAGATGAAAAAGACAGAGCACATCATTCAAAATGCACAAAGCTCATGCCACTAGAAGAGGGTGGTTACTCATCAGTACGAGTCATGCATTCACACCACAGCTGCATGCATTGCAGCATGTGGTACTGGATCCTGGGGCAAACGGCTAACAGCATGCCGTCCAGCCATCTTGAAGACAATCACTGAAAGACCATTTTGCCAATAAGCCAGAAAATTGTTGCAAAATTTGTTGCAATTGTACAGATACCATTCCACTGAACACACGGGGTTATATTTTTTGATTTACCCTTATTTAACCTTATTTTAGATTTAGTACTGCTGATCGCAGGTTTTTTATTGTTGAATACAAGTGAGGGATGTGGGTGTACCTGCCGCTGTACCAATATTATTGATATGCTGTCAAGTCAACAGGTGACTTGGCTCTTGTACTCTTTAAGTTGGCTGACAAAGGTGAACATTGCTTCTACTCAAGAGCGTGCGCACACCTTATTGAAGAATGCAGCCACCATGCCTTCCGCAGTCCCATCGCCCCCTCGCCGAAGATCATGGTACACTTGGGGGCTCCAATCCGCACACTCCAGTCCCAAATCCTATGCAGGTCACAGCAGTTTGTACATTGCTTCAATACGGTGAGCAACCACTCGGGGAACAGAGCATTGATACAGTCACCCAACCCTTCATCGGGTTGAGTGTGGATGGGATACAGTAGATGAGGAACAGCCAGCCAGCATTTAAATTGATATGCTGTGCCAAAGTTCAATCAAATTGAACATATGCAGTGCAAAAAAGGTAGTAAACAAATGAATGGATAAATTACAGAGAGATAGATAAGCAATTGAACAAATAAACACTTAGGTAATTAGTAATAAATAAATAGCTAACAAAGCAACTACAATATCAACTGGCAATAAGGAACGATTGAAAGTACCAAGTGTGGCAAGAACATGTCCTTGATAGGCATGAACCAACGTGCCAAGAGCAGCAACAGCAAGAACCACATAATCGGCCAGCAAGCACAGTGGCCATTTGCAGGGAACCTACAACGTAACTGGTGTGATGATAATGGTCCAGGATAAGATAGCTCTCACCTTGAAAGCCCTGTTGAAAGCAACCCTGTGACCATCGGTGTTGAGGTCCACAAGCACCCCATCACACTCGATGAGGAGTCCAACCTCCCTGGCTGCCAAGGACATCAGCAGCCCCCCTTGTCGCCCTGAAAACCGACATGGGATGGACTGAGCAATGGACTTACTGACGAATTGGATGACAAATGTGTGAGCAGCGCTGTTGAGGCATTTTATGCTGTGGACACTCGCTAAAATTATGCTGAGCTTGTCAGTTCAGTGGGCATTGCATAACTGGGACCTGCGAAATTCAATAGAATTGGTATCTAGACTGCACAAATGTGTGTCTTCTACCATCGCAAAGTTGCACATTAACCCTTCTTCCGGATGTCCATGCATTTGCCAGTGGCTAGACTGCTCGTGTGAGACACTCAGAAGATCTCTTTGAAGGATTAATGCCAACCATGTTTGAACCCAACGAGACAAGTTTGGCCCGCACTGCATGCACTGGCAATGATTTGTAAAACCTTTTAATCAAGTGACAACTGGTGGCCAAATGTGGTGCAAAAAACTGCTTTGAAGTGGCCATGCTGAAATCGCCCCAAAATCCAGCAAAGTGCACAGACTGTGTGTGCTATTTCAGGCCGGGATGGAGCACCAGCGGCCTGGTGTGCGGTGGTATGCAAGGCCAGGAATTTGCTCACTATCATCAACAGTGCTATTGAACGATAAAAAGTCAGTACAAACACAAGAATTTCATCCATTGCTTCATGTTGGCCAGTTGCTCCAAACTGCTGCGAACTCTTGGACTGTGTTGCCTTCGGACTGACAAGCCATTGCCAACAATCTACTCCAGATCGAGGCGGTACGCGATCCTGCGAAGTTCTGTCGCATCTGACTGGACACCCGGAACCTCGGCACACACCAGATCTATTCCAGCGGGACACATTCGGGAACAACAAATCCCCAGCCAGCACCGCCAACTCCCCGCTAATGCAACGCATCCCAGACATCGCCAGCCGTTTCCCCATTGACATTCCCTGTTCAGCAGAGACATGTGACATGACCAACGTCTCGAACTTTCACGCTGCCCGTAAGGATATCCATTCATTCACCAACATTGCCTCCAGACGCCCACCAAAACTGACGCCCACCAAAACTGACGCCATCCGATGATCCGCTCTCCGCACATGCGCGCACCGCAACGAACGCCCAATTTTCACGTTGCCGCAATCCACACAATCCCCAAGCGTCAGGTTTCCTCCCGTTTCCAACTAACAGCAACGGAACAATCCCAACGACAGCAACAATCCCGACGGAGCCCTGGCAGCCAGCACGCTCACCGGATGTGCCTCCGACCGCTCCCTGCCCTCGCGATCGGCGCGGGCGCGGCGCCGCCGGGTGGCGCCTCCCCGCGCGACCCGCCGAGATCCCAATCCCCGTCCCGGTAGAGCTGCAGCCCACCACCCCGCGGCATCCCGCGCAGCGCGCGGCGTCCTCGCCCGAGGGGCGCCGGACGCCGCTTGGGGTACTGATCATGGCCGGCGGCTTCCGCGGCGGCGGCGGCGGCGTCGGCAGCGGCGCGAGTTGGCGGAACGGGCGCGCGGTGACACGAGCGGGTGTCGGCCAGTCGATGGTCGGCTCGGCTGTGGCCGCGCTGGCCTTCCACTATTTTTGCAGTCGCTGGTGTGCTTTTTTTTATTGTTCCATTTTTCTATTCTATGTGATTTATTTCATTTTTGTCTATTTTTCCGGCCCTTTGGCCAGTCATTCGCAAGCAAATGGCGCCGATGGCCCGATAACGAGGGTCAAGGAGCCCAAGTGAGTGCCGAAGTCTATTTGCTGATGTCGCAGGGTGTCCACTGGTTGGTTTGGTGTTTGGGGTGCTCTCGCACCATCCTGGAAAATGGGGACAAAAACGAGAATGACATTCGAAGATGAACGCAGATGGAAGACGTTTAGATGGGCACTGTTACATCAGCAACAGATGACGACCATTTAATGCACTTGCAGTTGTAGCACTCCGCGCGCTCAACAACAAAGCCAGCGCAAGCGTTTTCCCACTACTCCTGTCCAGTTGGCTGCACTCGAGATCTAGAAAAAGACAGCAGTACACTTCCCAACGTACGCCCAGTCCTACAGGTGATGGTAAGCGAAGTCCCTCAAGCGGACCTGCCGCCCTCGGTTATATAGATAGCAACACCTTCCGAAATTAGGCGTTATAGCTTATCTACATACCGGAGTTGGTCAGACATACACATCGTGTGCAGTCTCAGCAGCAAATCGCCATTTTATGATGCATGCTTCCTTCCAATCGGGGACTACGGAATCTGGATCCGTGTTGTGGTCTTTGCTGCGGACGCTTGCTCCAATAAAAAGCATATCGGTGACTGAACGGATCGTTATTTCTCAGCTCTTCCTCCCAATTTCATGTTTTCCTGTTCTGAAGTAAGTCATTTTGTGATGCACACAGCAAAATTGCGATACTCGACATGCCTTACGACCAGGTAGATGACAAGCCATTCAAAGCGGAGGAGATGAACGTCTAAGGCGGGAGTTGTTGCACATTTATCGTCCATCCCCATCGACACATTGGTGGACAACTCAGAAAGGTTTGCTGGTGATAAACGCTTGCTTCTCCTATAACAAACGCCCCAATCCACATCCGCATCAAGAAGACAACAATCATGCATTGGCCAAGCTTCATTTCAGGCTACTGGGGTTCACAAATGGTGTTAAGGGGTCAACGATATAGATTGTTTTCGGAACAGTTGCACAGCAACACATAACTTCCGTTGAATGGTTGCCTTCTGCCAGGCTTGGTTTTTACGTTTACGTTTACGTTTTTACTTTTATGTTTTTATGTGCAAAAACGTAAATGTGCAAAAGGGCCTAAATTTAAAGCTATTTTACATTTTTACGGCTGCCTGGGGCACCCAGGCTACACAATGAAAGTTGCGTACAATGATCAGTCCTCTTCCATATCAAGCACTCACAACACAATGTCCACCTCGCCCTTGGCAAGGGCGATGATGGTGTTTACCAAAACCTCGTTTTCTGCCCCTTCCAGGGCGTCTGGCTGCCACTCTCCAGACTCTGTGAGTCTGTATGTACTGTCCTTATGTACACCGAGCAGTTTTTACGTTGTGTTTACGTATTTTTACGCATTTTTACGTGTCAAAACGTAAAGAATATTTTTACGTGTACAAACGCAAAAACCAAGCCTATCTTCTGCTGTGACAGGCATTCCAAACTGGAGGCTCTTGGCAATTTAGGAACTCATGGTACTGACAGAACTGATGGACTTTATGTGTTCTTTCTTTCTATGCACAGGACACTGACACTTACGACGTTGGTGGGCTTAGAACTGTGCACACTCCAGCACTGGAGGCTTGAGATTGCCACAACTCCTGTTTCACGACTGGCCACTGGGGCCGGCCGACCCAGCGTGACCATTGTGATATCTCAATGCTGACAGTGTTGGATCGGAGCACAGCAATAGCCTTGCGTATGAATCCACTGCGCATGTGTAACGGCCATCGATCGATTCCCCAGAAATTCACTAACATCGTCTCATCATATCGCGTTAAAAAGCGCGAAACGTTGGGCCAAAGGCCGGGCTTCTGGACTGGTTGTCCACAAAACACAAACACAAAACGAAGGAACCCAAGTAGCGGGCAATTCCAATGCTGAAACCCGCGGCCCACCGCAGCCAGTGGGCGTTGGCCCTTCAGGGCGCCCCCGTGGGCCGCCGGGCCCCCCGCGCGGCCGTCCGCGCCGAGGCCCGCGATGGCGCCCGGATGCCCGGGCCCCTGCGGTCCGCGGCCACCGACACTGCCGGGGCGGGGGGCGAGACCGCGCTGGAGGCTGGAAACGGGGCGGCGCCGGGTGAGCAGGAAGGTGCAAGATTGGTGTGCAAGCGAATAGCTCCTTCGCAGCAAGATCCAACCTATTTTGTAGCATTGGGTGAGCCGGAAGGGGGCGAAAATGGGTGTGTAAGTGAATGGCTTCTTCACAGAAAGGTGCAACCTAATGTACAGCCGGGTGTCTTGGAAGGGGGCAACATGGGTGTGTGGGTGAAAGGGCCGTCAACAGTAAGAGCCAGCCTACTGTAGGGATACCCTGTTCCAGCGACCCATGCCGCTGGCGCGCCACCTGCATATAGCTGTGCCACTTGTGACCTGATGCAGGGGCGCAAGGGCCGCCCTCGCCAACTACGGAAATATGTTACTCAGAGATGCTCGACAGACCGCCTCCCAGGGCCAGAAACGTTCCCTTACTGACTGCAACAAGTGACTGTTGCATTGCACAAGCCTTTGGACGTCAAAACGGCTACCTTTCATGCGAACTTTCTGGATGTGAATTGGCATCCACACGACATAGCGGGGGCCTTGCACCTTTCAGGCGATGGAAGGCAGACATACATCCAAAACTTTTTGCGGCCCAAATCCGACTACCCCATCTGCTAGCAACTCGTCTGCATCGCCTGCAAATGGTGGCCGGAGCCCTGTCATGCAGCAATTTGTATCTGCTGGGAGGCGAACACTAACGCGCTTGCAACTGCCCAGACAGCACATGCTGGGCATCAAGGCAATGACTTGTCACATTGTATAAACTGCTATGACCAATGTGAATGTGCACATGTGCACAGTCAGGATCGCGACAGTGAAGCGTGAGACCAAGGAGACCAAGGTTGAGGTGACGATCAATCTGGATGGCACGGGCAAGTGTGATGCCCAGACACCCATCCACTTCCTCAACCACATGCTTGATGTAAGTGCCCCATTGTGGATGCATGGTCCCATGTGCTAGCGCGTTGTGGGCTTGGACAATGATGGTGTTGACGATGTATTGCTGTGCTAGTTGGCAACTGGTGAATCGCCGATTTTGTGTGTTATTGTGATACCATTGCCTGACCAATAGCTCCTTGGTGGTTCTCCTCCATTTGCCAGCGCACTGGATGCTTGATAGCTTTGTAGCTAAGGCTGCCCACTGTAAGCATCGTAGGGGTTTGAATTCTTAAACCTGTGGTTGCTGTAAACATCTTTGGGTTTTGGCAGGAGTTTAATGGTCACACATGCCCTGGAAACCATAGTGTCCTGTTGATACACTGGTGAGCTGAATGTACAATGATTGGCTTGATGTTATGCTGGCCCAGAATATTAGGAATATTAGGAATATCAGTTTATAACATATCACCCCATAATCCAATAAATTGATGTGCACTGCGAGGACATTTATGTTTGCACTTTGGCTGTGATTCTGACATGGCTGTGCATGGAAGGAACTGAGCCCACAAATTCTTGAAAATTCCCTGGGTGAGACTGAAGATTGTGACACCCTGTTGGTACTGTAGTCTTTGCTGAGAATCGTAAGATCTTCAGGCTGTGTACCCTCGACCTAAGAAGCAAACTCAGTGCACGATGTTTGCAGCAACATGAAGTTCAAGATTGTTACAACAGTCCAAGCAGCAGTCACAGTCAACAGTCAAGGCGGTCCTTCATGTGCATGCAACAGCTTTGAATGTGCCTAGGCTTTGACTGCTGCAAACAATTTACTCCTGTTGTAATGGAAGGGAGTCAATTTCCCCCCGAGTCAGTTCATAATACTCAAATCTGAGAAAGGCCAACTGAGGCAAACCAAATTCAATTGAATGTGCTTGTTGCTTGCCACAGCAAATCTCATCCCATGGATTATTCGACCTGGTCATCGATGCAGAAGGGGACACCTGGATCGATGACCATCACACCAATGAAGACATCGCCCTGGCGCTTGGGACAGCACTTGGAATGGCACTGAAGGACCGCAAGGGGATCCACAGATTTGGAGACTTCAGCGCCCCTTTGGATGAAGCACTGGTGCATGTTGTTCTGGTGAGTTCACACAAGATAGAGTGTGGCACAGGCTGGCAGTGGCCCGTTTTTGTCTGATGTCTTGCTCCCATTTTGGTATGCTGCGTGTGCTACCGGATGCTTGCCAGAATGGACCAGATAGAGAAATAAGCTGTTGGCCTGGCGGCAAGTGCAGCTTTCTGGCAATGTCAGCATGCCAGCTGGATCACTTAGCAAAATGCTGAGAATCCAGACTAGCCACCTGAATGAGCACCAGAATATCCGTCACTGATATGAATATTTTGTCCCCTCAAGCACCAAGTTGAGCATAGGGTGGGGAACGCCTTGCCCTGAGTTTCTGGAGTGGTCAACTTGTGGAATGAGAATTCAGGGTTTGCATGTAACTTGCAGTATAAGCAAGTACAATCTTTGTGTATAAGCTGGACTTATTCTACCCAATGCTGTGGTCCTAATAGTACATCTATTGCGGAGCTCCCTGCTGACAAGTTCAATCCCAAATACCTCCCTAGCACGGGCTTGGATTCAAGCTATGGCCTTCTGTGCCTGTGTGGAAATTAGTGTTGGCTTGCTGTTGTTGACCCATGACAACACAGCGCCAGTGGGTCTACGGTTGCATCCTTGTGTGGATGCACACATGTTTACATGTTTACTCCATTATTGTGCAACGTGGCCGATTTTTCGGTGTCCGAAAAGGGGCTGCTTAGCATAGTCTTGTTGTCTTGTTACGATGGAGCATGTTCCAGCGTTTTTCACCAGAAAGATTGTCCGAATTAGGGTGCCTGTTAGTGTTTTGAGCTGGTCATTTGAAACCTGATTAGAACACAAGACATCTTTCCAGACTTAAAGGAAGCAAACATGTTTGGGTTTTTGATGCTGTATGATTTTCATCTACCCTGCTGTTGTTCTGTGTTTAGGATTTGTCCGGCCGGCCACACTTGAGCTTCGACCTGGACATCCCTACTGAGAGGATTGGCACCTATGACACACAGCTTGTGGAGCACTTCTTCCAGTCGCTTGTCAACACTTCAGGAATGACACTCCACATACGGCAGGTGGGCTTGACGGGGTCACCTCTGTGAAATCTTGTTTTTCAAAACCCTGCGTACTGATACAATGTACCATAGAGAATGGGGATAAGGCCCTCTACACGTTGAGCATATCCATTAGTATCCAGAAAACGGGGAGCTGTTATCTAGAGTACCCCTGTATTATCCAGCATTCCCCGCCTTTTACGCAACACTTCAGACGCAGTGTCCCCGTCCAAGCAATTCACAGGGCGCCACTCTCCCCACCACGTAGTGGCACCACCCAACACCACTTTGTGCATTTGCGCCATCCACTGATAAGGCTTTGGTTTTCTTACTGATGTGTTGGATGGCTTGAGTCCTGCTGCTAGCAGCATGATGTTTGATGCAGATAACTAAAGAGTATGGTCCAAGACTAAAACACTGTACTAAGAATGAACCGCTGGGTGTACACTGAATAAAGAGTATACCTTCAGAATTCAGTTGCTGCAATGTAGCTGGCTGTGACAAGGATGTTTGAAGCCTACAGGAGCTTATGGCCAACGGGTATTTGGCCATCCTAATATGATGATGCTATGTTCAACATGGGTGTGTTGTGGTTTGAGTCTGTTATATAATGGTTGGTGTTGTAACCACATTATGTGAATGTATGTTATGCACTGTTTGATGCAACCACCTGTAAATTACCATGGCATTGGCTTTTCAGGTCCCAACTTGTATCGCATTGGATTGGCTGTGCCTTCTGTGCCTTTGATCCCCTCACATCATCTAGTGTTCCCACCATTTTGTCCAGAGTTTGCCTGGTGTTAGGCAGCGAATAGGATGATCGATAATGCTGCGGGCTGTTCGCCCAGCAGATGATGCCGCCCTGGCGTCATCAAGAGTATCCGCATTGTCCTTCCAGTGATTGTGACCCCAGTGTGCCTGACACTCCAAATGGACTATGTATTGACACAATGGTTTTATCCCAAAACTCAAGTCTCACTGGTAGTTGAGCCTTGCAGCCAAGGGGACTGCAGGAAAATTGTGGGGCAAGGGCATGAAAGGTGCAGGAAAAAGTACAAGAAAAAGTATAGGAAAGTTCAGCTTCTGTTCAGCAGGAAAGTGCACCATCACATATACCCCTGTTGCTGTTGCCACTGTGGACAGTTTTACAACGACAAGTTTTCACAAAAAATGGCAGGACCTTGAGCACGGATGCAGGATATCAGGATTCCAATGCGATCACAACTGCTTGGTAGCTTACCAGGATTTGAGTACCAGCTTGCAGCTGGTTGACATGCCAGTGCTAGCGAATGTTCGTGGGGCTTGCATGAAATTTGCAGAAGATGATACAAAACAAAGTGGGATATTGACTCCAAGAATGGTATGAACATATAACCATCCTCACACTGTACTTGCACAGAGTGTATTGTGCATGGTACTCTGTGGGAGCGCTTCTGAATGCATCTGACTGATTGTGCGGCCATTGTGAGCATAGTGCATGTTTATTTCTGGTTCCAAATTTGGCACCGATGTTGACAGTCCAGACGCCTTGCCAGCCAACTGGACGTAAACTAGGTGTGTGTGCATCAATTCTCCAAATGGATTCACCAAGAGTTGCAGAAAGCTCCATCGCTGGCAAGGAGTTTCATTGACACATATTTTGCTTGTGCTGTGTTTTGGTGGTACGAACACAACAGCCCCTGCAACTTGTTCGCGTGGCTAGTTATCTGTATGATGTTGAACGGCTGACAGATTTGGCATGTGCGTTGTCTCGCTGACAGCTGGCAGGCGAGAATTCTCATCACATCGTAGAGGCGACCTTCAAGGCCTTTGCAAGAGCTCTGAGGCGAGCAACGGAGGCAGACCCTCGACGAGTAGGCAAGATTGCCAGCTCCAAAGGCGTCCTCACACAGAACTAGGAGCATGGGTGGCAAGCAGGGCTGCTGGTTCAACCAAGGTGTGGGGCATTGGAGACAGACACCTGGGGTGCTAATTACTATGGTGTGAATGCTCTCAGAATGCCAGGATCACGCTCAGTTGATCATGGACATGCGGGCATGTGTGCCAGCCATGTTGTGGATGGCTGGAGGACGGCGATGCGATGCTGGCAGCGGTTAGGTTGTAGAATTGGTAGGCGACATAATTTGTGCAGGCCGAACGTTTGTGATTTGCGCGTAGCAGGTGAGATAATAGTTGGCTTTCTGCAGTTTTCATTGTTGTGTCCATATTAAGGAGGTTGTGACTTTTCAGGTTGGAAAATTTGTTTTCGGTACAAAGCTGTTGGTGACATTCAAACATTAACACATGCCACACAACTTCGGATTATTGCATACAATGACACAATGATGCAAGCAGTGCACCTGTGACGACGCACGAGGGGGTAGGGAGGTGGGGAGGTGCGCCCCAAAACGAGTTGCAGAGGTGTTGTCCCTGCCCAACCGTTGACGTATGTCACTGATGTGACGAAGGCAAATGGTCCACCCATCTGCGTTGGTTATGGCGATCCAAGATGCTTCTTCTGCCACCAGTTGGCGGTTGTGAACTATGCCGTCCCCCACCCCACCCCACCCGCCTAACCTTGATATCTCTTGTTTCATGGATATGCACTGATGCCTATCAAGACCACATGAATGTCGAATTCCAGCACAAACGATGACTGTCAACTCGTCCACATGGTGTGCGAGTGGCCCGCACTGGAATAATGGCGGCTTGCTGACAGGCCTGATTGACGATGGAGACGTTAATGACGATCAGTTGTCATTCTTATCTTCAATTGGAAGTGGCTAATGGAATAAAAGACTAGCGAAGGCAGACTATATAGACAGCCCTGGACATTGTGTCAATGACATGACTCTTGGCTCCATAGGCTCCCATCCCCCCATTTGCCCACTTTTAGCGTCAATTTATTGTCAAGCTTGCCAAAATCCAATTCGTGTCACCCTCATTGGCGGCATTTTTCGTCTCCAAAAACAGAAAACGTGAGCCACGAAAGGCGACTCCAACTTGGAATCGCAACGCAAATGTCTTCTTTTAAAAGCGAAGAGGTATTGACGAAGGCAGGCAAGATCCAGGTTGGCTACCCTGAATGGGGCCCGTAGGCTCGAGTGCACGGTTGCCGTTAACAGCGAAGCAAAGGGACAACAGGAATTCTGTCCCTGCTATCCGGTCCCTTCATCAGCGTCCTTAATCCAGTTCCTATTGTCTCATCACCTCTTAATGCGGCCAGCCATTAATACTGCTCGATCAGTTGTGGTTACAACATCACAACGACCAGCCGTCACGGTGAGTATTTCTTTTTGCGACAGTGGACCGTTCTTTTTGCGACAGTGCCAAACTACTCGTTTTTGCGAAAGCGGATTGTTCTTTTTGCGACAGTGGTCGTGGCTAAAGTGTGACTCGGCCAGCCGAGCGCCAGGAATCAGCAGCCGGTCAACCTTGACCTTTGCGCTTTGCGCCGCGCAACCCGTCCGCCGTACGGGGACCCCTTTCCCGCGTCAAGTCACCTCTTCGAAATAATATTACTGCCTGCACCAAATCGGTGACTGCTTGCACCAAGTCACATGCACACTTTGTCCTAACCTCAGTTTTAGGGTTAGGTTTAGTTCAGGGTGAGTTTTAGGGTTAGGGATAGGGTTAGGACAGGTTTAGGTTTAGGGTTTAGGTTTTAGGTTAGGTTAATTTTGACGGAGTTGGACATGATGTGCACGTGACTTGGTGCAAGCAGTCACCGTTTTCGTGCAAGCAGTCACCGATTTGATGCAGGGAGTAATTTTATGCCCACCTCTTCCATGGGCTGCTGGTTCGTGGGCCACGTCCGCGGCAGCCCAAGGCACGTGTAGGTGCTGGCCAGGCGGACGCCGGCCGCTGGCAGCCCACCGACACACGCCAGGATGCGCACGGGTGGTTCAACCGGCCAACCTGCGAGGCCCAACCCAAAGGTTGGGCGCAGGAGATGCCACAAAACGGCGGGAGTAGGAGGCCGGAAGTTGCCTCCCACTCCTGCGCTAATGCGCCTCGCGGTCACCGATTGGTGCCATCCGCGGGTGCCCTGATCGCCACCCGCGAGTGGCATCAATCGGCACCCACAAGGGGCGACTGCGTATTGCGTACCATGGCCTGTTTGTGCCCAACGCTTGGGCGCAGAACACACCAAAAAACGGCGAGAGTGCGAGGCCGAACGTCGCCTCCCACTCCTGCCATTTTTGCCCCTCATGGCCACAAACTGGTGCCACCTGCGGGTGACTCGATTAGCACCCGCGGGTGGCATGATTCGGCGCCCGCCAGGGGCGGATACCAAAGGTCAACTGCGACCTATGTGACGCCCATAGCACGCACGCAAAACACGTCACAGGATGGCGAGAGGGCGAATGCTGCTCGTCGCTTCCACTGCCGCCATTCTTTCCCCTCGTGGCCACCGATTGGTGCCAACGGCGGGTGCCCCGATCATCGGCCCCGAGTGGCACCATTCGGCGCCCGCATGGAGCCAAAGCGGGCACCAGGCTTTGCAGATCATAGACAGAGATCCGCTGCGGATCTCCGGCCTCCCAGGAGAGACCCGCTGCCCTGGCCCTTTGACGGACGCACCGTCCGTCCGTCCGCGAACTACCAAGCCCCCGAAAGGGACGAACGGAATTCGGCCCCTTGGGGCGATCCGCGGTCCGTCAGTCCGTCCACAAATTACGGAACCGACTGCCACCCGTCCATGCGTCCCCCCCTTGATTCGGCCTCTTTGCCTTTGTGGGCGACACCCAATCCCCGCCGGGCCACAGGTCATTCGCCACGGCGTCAGTTTTGACGTCGCTTCTGCGCCGTGCATGGCAGGCTCGCCTGCCCTGCTGCCCGTATTGTGGCCGCCTGCGGCTTGTGAAGCCTCACGGCGGGCAGACCCCCATTTCACTCGTCGGCGTGCCGCCCAAGGGGCCGACGACGTGCAGGTCACACGTTAGTCAGGGCCACTGTTCCAGAAAAGAACAACCGCTCACTCTCGCAGAAAAGAACAAGTCGGGCATTTTCGCAGCCACGTACAACGTTGTGGCAATAACGTGCGACACTGTCGGCATAAAGGACATGTCGCAAAAAAGAACAACCGCCCACCGTCGCAAAAAAAACAATTCGGGCATTTTCGCAGCCACGTACAACGTTGTGGCAAATAACGTGCGACACTGTCGGCAAAAAGGACATGTCGCAAAAAAGAACAACCGCCCACTGTCGCAAAAAAGAGCAATTCGGGCATTTTCGCGGCCACGAACAACGTTGTGGCAATAACAAGCGACATTGTCGCAAAAAAGAACGATTTCGTTGTCGCAAAAAGAAATAGTGACCGGCCGTCATCGATCAGCATTCAGGAAATGATAGAAGTTGTGCCTACTCCCCTCCCCAGGTTGGCCCAAACAAAAAAACGCCAACCACCCACGTGAAAAGAAACTGAAGCCCGAAGGTCTCGTCCATTCCTCCCTGTTGCGGCCAGGCGAACAGCAACCTCCCCGCAGCCTCCCTGCCGATCACCCCCCTCCCCCCCACCACCCCGCTCTCGATCAACCCCGCCCCCCCGCCGCTGGCGCCCGGGCGCCACCCGGCCGGCCGGGTGCCATGGCCGAGGGCCCGCCCGCGCCCGTCTTCACCGGCACCAGCGGCAAGATCGCCAACGCATGCGCACACTGCGGCACCGACAAGACCGCCGGCATCTGGCGCAGGGGCTGGGACGTGGAGGGCGGCGAATCGGCCAACCTGTGCAACAGGTGTGGGGAGGCTGGCGGGAAGGGCATCCGGCCATGGGCTGGCTCCGGCGCGCCAACGGCCCCGACAGCGCCCGACAGCCAGCGCGTCCTGGCTGCCAGTCGCGCTGTTTTGTGCGCCCCGCGCTACAGAGCGGTGAGGCGAAGGGATGCCTTGAATTGGCTGGCAACCGTTTCCGTTCAGCGCGACTCGGTTCGATCGATCGGCCCTTATTCGGCGGGGCGCGTTTTCTTGTGCTTGTTTCGAGCTTTCTTTTGCGCGGGGGATCCGCGAACTGAAGCGCCGGCGGCCTTTGGCGGTTGGCCCCTGCGCTCCTCTGCTCGCCGCTGCCCGCGGGGATGGCGCTGATCATGATTATCACCCATATGGGCGATTGGGACGCGAGCGGGAAACGGCGACTTTGGGCCCGCGGCTCTGGGACTGGTACCTTGGCTGATCGGAAGTCGTGAACCGTTTTGCGCCCGGTACGCTGCGGAGCCGCGCCGGTGCCCTCCGGCTTCCGGGCTGCGCCTCGGACAGAGCTGGATTGGACTGGCGTGCCTTGCATTCCGCGTGGATGAAGGCGAAGCCAAGTCGCGCGTCGCAGTTTGGCTCCCTGCTGAACCTCCAGGGCCTTGGACGGTCGCACCGACAGGCGCGCTACGCTGGACTGCGGCTAGCCAATGGCTTCACTTATGCATTGGCGTGAAATTCCACTTGATTCTGTTGGCCGCATCAAGACAGAATTGGTTTGGGGGTCGCCAGACTCCATCTTCAGAGGATTGCAGACCTCCGAATGGAGGAGACCTGGCATGTTCGGCTTCCAGGCAGACACTGTCTTCTTTTTTTCTCTTCAATTCCCAAATTTCTGTTCGCATTTAGGAGTTCAGATGCTGCCCCTTCCTGACAAAAGAGATGTGGGCTGCCGTGCTACCCCAATTAAGTTCAAAGGCAATGGAAAGTGCAAAGATCAGCTCAGGTTTTGAGAGGCCAGCCACAATGGTTGAAATAGCCTTGTTGGCCAGAACGGGCATGGTGGTATTGGAGGAGCAAACGGTTTGCAACAATCCAACGATGGAGGCATGATTTGCCACGATATCGTCTCTGTCAGGGGCCCCATAGAGGTACCACCATTGCTTGCTTGAGACTGAGATTTCAAGTATGCACGAACAGCCTTTTGGGCTTGCATCGTCTTTCATTCTTTTGGTAAATACCATAAGGCCTCCACATCTCTTTCCAAGGACAAGGGGATTAGCACCTTGACTCTTAAATGTGATGCAATAGTTTTGGGAAGAAACATCTTTGCAGTGGAGCTTTTTGCTTGTCCTTTTCCCTGCCTTGTGACTGGCAAGCCGCGCAGACCACTGAGGAGAGTTTGGGGCTGATCATGAAGCATGGTGAGCATGTTTGTGCATTGGTTGTTAGCATATAAGTGTTGGAGTGCAGGCAACCTCATCATTGTAGCATCCAGGAATGATCTGAGTCCTTGATGTATTGCTATGGAAAGGAAGTCCTTCTACAATGATAAACAATGGTCAAACTGCATTCTGCAGCATGCATGAACTTTGGTTGTGACAGCGTGACCATGACAGTAAGTGCCTGTTGATCAAAACCCAGGTATCGGTGGTTGCCTGTCCCAATAAAAAAAAGGACTTGTGAGCCCACAATCAATCCCTCAGGCGCACGACCATTAATTTCAATTCCAAAGGACAACGTGGAAGAATTGACGTTTTTGCTGCAGAATGAAAAATTGCTCATGTGCAGAGCTTTAGGCTGATCCCAATATTCCACAATGTTGGTTTGGAGCTATGTCTTTGCCGCCATTCAGATGACACTGCAAGCCTCCCACTATCTGGACATCACTTGCAGTTCCAAACCAAGCAATGTGGTGGCAATACCAAGCTTTTCACCACAAAGGTGCCAGAGCGGCCAGGGTTTGAACTTAGTTGGTATTCCAATGAGGTCATCGTGTTGAAGAAACATTATCGTCACCATGGTTCACGCTGTGCAACTGGTTGCGATATGGAGAAACGATCTTGGAGTACCGAGCAAACACAAACTGGATCTTTCTGTGGCGGCCATCGCCTGCGAGGTGCAAGGGCGTGGTTTGTCATGGCTCCTTGACAGGTGGAGTACATGGAATTTCACTCATCCATGTATGACAGCACAACATGGGAGTGAAATAACAGTGAATTCTCGATTGTTTATCCTAGGTACTAATTTGGAGTCTGTTTGCTTGTTTATTCCCTCGCTTATTCATAGCATGACAAGTGCATTCGCTGTGGCTTCATGCTGCCTGCAGATGTGGCCTGGCCTACAAGAATGGCAAGGTGAATCCTGGCAAAATGGTGGCTTGTAATGTGGACGACCCCGTGGCAGCGGGCCCAAGGGAGGCAGTCAGGCAGAGCAAGCCTAAGGTGAAGGCTGTCAGGAGTGGGGGCCCTTCCCAAAGGTAAGTGGATCCAATTTTGCCTTTTCGTCCAAACTATCACATCGCATTTGGCCAAAGGGGCTTGTGTGGTTCTGCCTTGCTCGCACTTATCTAGATTTGAAACGATGCATCCAACGTGCAAGAGTATGGCACAGGGCCATGAATGGAGAAAATGAGTGTACAGAAATACTCAGGACGTACCAGAGCTTGCAGATTGCAGCTTGCTTGAGTGCTCAAATGCTGAAGAAAAGCATCTTGAGAGTAGCTTTCAGATGCAAAATTCCGTAAGTCATATGCCGTGCTCCTGATATGACTTGATGTGCTTTGTTGGTCACATTCTGGTGACCAGATGGTGTAGCTCATGCCCAGGAGCGATTGGAATGGTTGCATTGCAAGAAGGCTGTGGTATGGGCTGGACGTTCGCTCATGCTGGTTTGATAGTTTTCTTGCTTTTGTTGGTCAGGGGTGCATGTTGGTGGCTGCATAATCTTCTGTGGATATGTTTGGGCAGTCTTGTCTATTGGGTTTGGTTCCTTGCCAAGTTGCAAAACCGTGACAACCGTCTGAATCTGTCTCTTATTTTTTTTTTGGTGGTGAACCATACACATTTTCCCCTTTGCCTTTGGTTCTGCTCATTCTTTGAAATAGCAGCATGACACCAACGAGACACAGCATTTTTGTGTCCTTCCGTTCAATTCTGTCTTCTCGTTCATGTGCACTGTGGTTGCTGCCCTCCATTCACACAGTCAATTTAATATCTGTGTATTCTTTTCTGCTTTCCCTGTGGTCGCCCTCAGATGCCGAAAGAAGTTGTATATTTCTTCCCCCTGTATTGCCCGCTGTTGCCCTAATTTCTTCAGTCCTTGTCTCCTTTGTCTCCTTTGTCTCCTTTGTCTCCTTTGTCTCCTTTGTCTCCTTTGTCTCCTTTGTCTCCTTTGTCTCCTTTGTCTCATCATCTGTTCTATTGTTGTCCCTAGTTTGGCCACCCAGCTTCCTGAATGGACTCGTATCCTTCGCCATCGTTGCAGTCTGTCCTTGCCTTTCACTGCTTTAAGCTGTTCGCTTCTGCTGCTTCCCTGTTACTGGTCGTGTGCTTCACTGCACAAGTACAAGGCCTGATATTTGCTACTTAACATTACCTAACCATACTGTAGTGTTTTGCCCATTTTGCCCTACAACAAGGTTTTCCTGTCCCTTCTCTCAGTTCCGCTACCCACCCCATTGCCTTGTTTCACTTCCTCGCCTGTTGTTGCTGCCGTTTGTTATAGGAAATCTGCACCTGAGCCCATGGAGCTGCCCAGTTCCTTGCAGCCCCGCACAGCACTATCTCCTAGTGCCCCATCGCCAGATTCAGGCAGCCCTACGCCACTGGCCACGGACAGCCATGAGCCACCTGAGCTGTCCCTCGGTGTGGTGAAAAACAGGCAGTCCCAGGAGCCCATTTTGCCACCCGCAGAGTCACGGAAGTATGAGAGTTTTACCATGGCCAAGGAGAATCTTGACAACGGGGTGAGGCAAGTGTCTTTCTACCTGCACGACCGGTTTGGGGGATCCACGTTGGCGGTGGTGGTGAGTCCCTTGACACACGAATGATGATTTTGTGGTTGAGATGTTTGTGCAAATCCTTCCTTTCCATGTGAAAAGTAGTTGGCGACACATGTCCAGACACCAGTGAAAACCTTGGGCAGTGTGGCCTGCATCCGCTCATTCCTTGTTTGCTCCATATTCACCGAGACCTGGAGAATCCAGAATCCAGTACTGTCAACACCATTTGGGGAAATGTAGGTGGGACACAAAGTGCTGGGTACTTTTTTGTTTGTCTACCTTGCCATATACAATTCATGGAGTGTATGTGAACAGTCATTTCTGCCATTCACTCCTGCCATCGTGCTGTGGTGCTCATCAACTGTGTCACTAGCACCGCTTGTCTTTCAGTGCTCCCTGGGAATTGTGCCCTGATGTTGTCCTTGTCATTATGTACTCACATGCCCTAGAAGGTACCATGCAGGGGGTGTTGAATAGAGGCCCTTAGACAACGCCCCCCGCAATATTGAACATGGCCACCGCTGCAGAGCACGGGAGGTGTGTTAGATAGCGCGGGAGGTATGCATCTCCCAGGATTGAACATTCTCGTTCACTGTCAAACGGTGGAGCGACACAGTGCAGGAAGGCCTTCCCAAAAATGTTATGGTGGCCTCCTCCCACTTGTACTGTGTTTTTCGTCCTATTTTGACTGATTTTGAGTGATTTAAAGGGGTCTGGTGGTCAATGTGGCAGTGTAGGAGTGTTACTGATTCATTAAATTGATGGGGAACGTGGGGGGCACATAAGATAGCTCAGGGTTATGCAAGATAGTGCCCACGCGCTCCTGACGCCTGTCTTGATGCTCAACGTGTGTGTGGGGTGGGTGGGTGGGGTGGGAGGCGCCATCCTTCACGATGTGCAGTACAATGACAGTGCCTGATCAGATTTTGAACAATTTTAGTGTTTATTTATGCCTGTATGGACAGACATGTTTTTTATGACTTGCATGTAGTATTACTAATGATATGTTATGTTGCTATGCTAGCTTAGGTTTCTAGTACCATCCTTATATGGTCACCAAGTGTTCTGTTGGATTCTGACGACTTTTGGCCAGTGCTGGAGGCACTTTGCTGGAACAGTAAGCCATCCAGCAGTTATGTTTTGTGTCGGAGGTGCACAAAATTACATATGCAGCTGTGCCTTTGGGACAAGAACTAACAGACTCTACTTCTAGTGCGGCCTCGGCACTGATGTGTGGCATGGCCGCCATGTTTTGCATTGTTGGTTGATGCATAAATTCAGTCAGCCTGCTGTGAAGAGAGGGGTGGAGTGCTACCTTTGCACGACGACATCCTTTTGTTCCCTGGGAGTATGTTGTCTGTGGTTTTATTACACCGGGGTTGGGGTGCCCTTTTCTGCATTTTGCATATGGCACATGCATGTAGACAACTAGAAAACTGATGCTGTCTGATGACATGAGCTGGGACAGCTTGCCAATTTTCTCTTGCAGCAATGGATACATTTGTCCACTGTTCCCAGGGAATTGACACACGTGGCACTGGGCACTTCACCTACAAGTCACAAATGGGCTTTGAGCCATACCTGCACGTCACCAATCGTGGAGAAGTGATGAATTGGCTGGCCGATCATATAGCAACCCACAGTGCCAATTCCAGCCCGCCATCTCCCCTCCACCCTGCAACGAACCAACCAGTGGACGTTGTTGAGCCATCCAGTGCACCATCGAGGCCGGATCTTGGAGGGTAAGTGATTGATTGTCAGCTATCACTGTGATAGACGTGGCCATTGCGATGGGTGCGCTTGTCTGCAAATTGTGGCAGTTCACACACTTCTAATCTGTGCTTAAACACAAGCCAATTCAGAAAATCGTTGGCTTCTAGTGCTTGATGGGACTATGCAATGTGCTGCTTGATAAATTGTCAACGGTGTGTCTTGGCCAATTTTCCACTGCTAAATGACAGCATGATATGGCAGTTTGAACACTTCACATTGGCACTGTCAATAGTGCGAAGCAGTAATGTGGACCATTGATTCTTCCTCTTGTGCTTTGGGCTCGATGCATTAATCAGGGTCGGACTGTTGCTCTGTGCTGTGCAGTGATTTTGGCAAGTGTTCATCCCTACAAAGGCAGATCCTTCCAATAACAAGGCAACAGAAAAAATTGAAAGAACAGTCGATGATGTACTGAAGGACTGCACGATAGTTAGTTTTTAGCGCGATGCTCAACAGAATGTGCACATCGAGCTGACCATGGTAATTCAGCAATTGCTGAATTCTGCTTCCCAATGGTTTGGGTGGAAGACAAGCACACATTTACAGAAGTGAAGGGTCTTGCAGCAGTGTGCAGTTGGTTTGGCTGACAGATCTTGCAGTTCCATTGCTACTTATCATGCACAATTGATGGAATGTGCATGTGACACCTGTAGTGTGCTCACTGCACAGGAAATACACATCGTACAAAGACGAAAGCTACCAGTCTGAAGATGGCACACACCACCGAGATTACTACTTGGTGGGTGTTTGCTTGAGGGTTGGGACAGTTCGAACGAAAGCGCTATTGTACGAGACTGTATTCTGCATGCATGTACGCATATCGGGTATGACAAATCGTCAAGCGAAGGCAGCAGCTGTTTACAATCCATCCATGCTCCACTGCCACAATGCAGTCTGGAAGGCTCTTGAAACCACCTGACCATAGTTTGGCAGATTATCTAAGACATGCACAGAAACTTTTGGAAGCAGATGGCTGTTGGGGGAGCTTCAGGCATTGATATGAGCAATCTGTGGGACCTTACGCAGGTTTGGCAAAGGGTTGGGGGGTAGACGGGGGTGGGGAAGATTTCGGTTCATCTGTTTTTCATTCGATGCTTGCTCAAATTTTGCACTGTTCCAGAGTGGGTGGGTTTCCTAAGGCACCTCAGAAGTGATTACCATGGATGGTGGCACCCTCTGGAATTGTGCAAAGCTTATGCGGTCAAATGCAACCGATTTGACTGTTCCAATGCCCTGCTCACAGGGGTTGTACGAGGTTCGATCCTGCCTCAAATGCAATCTCCAGCATAATCCGAATGGCTCGTGCTGTAGCAACACCAAGGGCACAGCAGCAATCAATTTATAGGCTTGTCCAATACCTACCATTCTGGATATGAAGGTCATGAAGGGTATGAAGGCCTTGAAAATCTAAAACTTAACTTACAACTATTCTAAGCACAAAAGCGAATAGTGTAAAAGCCCCACAAAACCTTGAAACGTGAAAATGGCCTTCATGACATTCATGCCCAGAAACTAAGGGTATCAGATATTTGTGTAGATTTGGGGGAAGATAACCCTCTTATTGTGACTCTGCAGCTTGTTTTTGCTTCAACATCAGCACCACACCAAATGTCCTTACATTTATCCTGCTTTTGATCCTCCTTACATTTATCCTGTAAATTCAGAAGCCAACTTACTCTGCCTCCAAGGTGCATTTACACCTGTCCACCTGCTGTGCATCGCCCTGTGTGACCACTTGATCAGTGATTGTGACTGAGCACCCAAGATATGTGGTGTGTACTGGAATGCATGTCGGTATGTGTCAAAGCCTTTCCATGACACCTGTCTCTGAAGTTGTGGGGTCTCAATACTTTTCATGGGCTCGCGCCATAGGCGTGGAATAAATAGAATAGGCCACAGGAATTAGGATTGATGTGCGTGTACGAAACATAAACATGCTAATGAAGTAGTACATTGCTTATCAGGTTCGATACCTTAGCGATTAGCAGTAATGGCTAGTGAGCAATCAAGTAATGTACCTCTACCATATAATGACACGAACATTTCATATAGGTACATGACTACATCTCCATGTTGAGATGTTTACTGTGTGTGTGCTGGACATGTATGTGATGAATCTCATCCTCTGGATAAATCTCACCACAGTTCGCAGCACAGCAAGAAGCTGAACTCAGATGTCTCAAGCTGGGACTGCTTACCATGCATGTGTTGTGCTGATGCAACTTCCAGGTGAATGAGGAAGGGGATAGGAAGTTGGCGATCAAGGCCCAGGATGGGCCTCGGCGAGACAGGTGGGCAGACAATGTGCGTGTCGAGCCTTGTGCGCTGGATCTATTATGACGTGATCGAAAGATGATCAGATGGCGAACGAACGACGATCAAGTGTAAGGCAGTGACAATCGTGCACACATTCAGTCGTCCATACTCTGATTGATTAATTGAAATGAAGGCAATTCAACTTGCGCTGGACTGTCACTGGCTGTTTTAGCTGAATGTTAGTCTTCGTTGGTATTGATGATGAAATGTATTGTGACCGCATGATGCCGAAATCTGGCCAGTTTTTTGAGTGCTGTTTTTGCATGGCAGGATTGTTGACCTTGACGTTTGTTCGACCTCGGCACATAGCAGTTTGTCTTCTTCAGGTGCTGCCTGAAGCACTGAAGTCATCATCATTGTGAGCTCATTGCGGAAGTTGACAGCTCCTCAGTAGTTTGATATTTTGAGAGCACTAAGTGCCTCAAAGCTTATGACTGTCAGCAGGATGGCTGCAATTTGGCACTAATTGGATGCGGCCTGAAAGCTTGTTCTTTGCAACCTATGACGCCCTCATCGTGCATAGTGGATGTCCATAAATTTTGGTTAGTTAATGAATGGAGTTTTTCTGATTTCAAAGTATTTCCATCACATTTCAGAGTCCAGGTGATGTGAGACTTCGGATTTAAAAGAACTCTGTTGATAACTGATCAACGTGTATGGGCATTCACAGCACACAATGAAGGCATTAATCGATGGAGTTAATTTGCTTGCAAAGTTTGTTTATACCCAATGTGCTTGAGCACATGCTTGACGGTGGGGCGCCACCTCAGGGGCACCATCTCCTGGGCGCCATCTCATGGAGCCTTTGCTGATGGATGCTGTAGGCGTTATGTGTACCGCTCCACAGAAGAGTTTGGGAATATATCGTTCAAGAATTCAGTGGAGTGTGTGAAGTGGCTGGGGTACATCCTCGGCATGAGCGACACACTGCCTCAAAGCATAAGGAGGAAAAAGAGGGTATGAGTGATTTTACCAAGCTCACCCTATTTGCCCCATTTCTTGGAGTTCTTGTTATCTTTCAGTACATTTTCACAGATGCATATTGTTTACATTCCTGTTTGTCATAGTGGTTTGTTTGTATTTTGCCTTTTTTGTTTGTTTCTTGATTTGGTTTGAGTGTCCACTGTAATATATTTTCGTCAACCAGTATGCTGTTGAATGCGTGTCACGTTTTCACGATCTAGTGTTTTGGGAGTTTTGTATACATCCCAGTTGCTGCACCAGTACTGGCGGACAGGCCTTGCCAACACAGGTCGCATTGTACTGGGTGAATGTGCCACAGTTTGCGTTGCTACTGGACGAAGTTTTACATGAAAGGGTGTCTCACACAACTGACCGGCGCTGAGTGCTGGCTGTTCAAGAATAAGAATAGGTGTAGAGAAAGAAGTAGAGGAAGGAAAGAAAGAGAAATGGACATGGACGTGGGAACAGAAGTTGGTAGGGGAACAGAAGCATACCCTGTGCATACCCTGTAGATGTTCTCTATGCTTCCTACAGTGCTGCAGGATGCATCCACCGAGGCTTATGACGGTCTCATTTTGCATGGTCGCAGGAATACCAAGCTGTGGCGCTTGAACCCACCGAGGCTCGCTGTCAAGGGAAACGCCATGCGTGAGCACACTCAAATACGTTGCCCGCCTTGGAACTGCCTTCCATAGTAAATGCAACCCTTCCAGATCAAACAATTTCGCCGTTACGCTTTTTGCTCCACATGTTTTTTTTCAGAGTTTCTTTGTTTTGCTTACGTTGCTCCACAAAAATTTTACTACATGAACATAACTTACGTTTGTTTCCTCTGCAAAAAGGAGCCAGGCGTAACGTTACTGTGGGGAACAGTTGAATATACTGCAGTTGTCTGGCAATAATCACTGCTGCCATTCCGTTGCCCTTGCCTCCAGCGTTCTGACTATGGTTTGAGGTAAACCAACTAAATCCATAGTGTTGAGGTTTCAGTGGTTATATGTGTGTTGCTGTGCTGCCATACCCTTGCACGCAAAGTGGTTATGAGATAAATTTACTGGGAACAGAGCCTTGTAGCCATTTGCTCTGAAGACATATCATTGGAATTGCCCAGTCATCTCATCATTTTTGTTGCCTGCGCCGTGGTTGCTTGCTCTGAGCCCATTGGGACTGAAGCGCTAGGGCCGTCACCACAGGCTGCTGTGCATTGAATTTGTGTCCCATGAACACCTGGATGCCAATCAATGGTTTCGATCGGGTCAGGGCGTCCACGGCATCATTTTGCTTCAAGCACATTCGTTTGTGAAATGGAAGGCTGGCCAGCGTACTTCCTTTGATTGACATGTTTATGTTGTCAGCAAGCAATCTCTCCACCACAGAGTTGCTCAGGGTCAAGGGCCATAGAAGTTTGCAGTTTGCTGTGCTTGCTCAAATACGCATCGTTGCTAAAACGCTAAAGTGGTGGTATTCATTCGCTGTCATAACTGTCTCCATATTCAACTTTGATATAGTACATCAAATCTACATTGCAGCCATAACCTTTTTTCACAGTGTCCACCATGCGTTGTGTGTCCGCATTGTTCACAACACATTTACCAAGTCTTCCTCACAAACATACCCAGGCATGACTGAACTCATCCATCACAACAACGCGAAGAATGGCACATCGGTGGTGGTACGCGTCTCCGCTGATTTCAGTTGATCACGCAGCATCAATCATTGGCGGTCTGCTGGCACTTCACAATGCTTGGCCGAAGAACGTCCAACCCCCAGGTCACACCTGCACACAGTGACATACACAGTGCACGAAAATGAAATGAAAATGGAAAGATGACACTATCACTGCAGAATGAGAGGAAGAGAGAAAGGAAACAGACTCATTGTTGGCTGGTGGCACGTGTGCAGTGCCCGCTTACCCAACGATGCTGCGCACAGCCGCAAGGGCAGGGACATCCAGGAGGCTTACCAGGGCGAGCCGCAGATCTACGAGTGGGTGGTGACCAAGCCCACGGTGGACGTTGTGGGACAGTTCGAGCAGTGGGCCCGAAAGCTGAGCGGCGTCGTCACGGACGACCCACCCAAGGGCATGGATGCATCGACGCAGCAGTGGACCTCCACCCAGGAGGCTGTCCAGATACTGCAGCTCATCGACAGGCAAGCTGGCGTAGCTGACATCTCGCACCAAAAAAGTAGTCAGACGATCGTTGCTCTTGTGTCAATTTGGAATGCGTTGTTTTACGCCTCTGTTGTGCTTGAAGTATTTTTTGTCAAGTCGTCAGTTTGCCGTGTATGAAACACGGAACTAGAATGGTGTAAATCGTTTCTTTACGTGTTAATTTTTTCTTTATTGTTTCTTTATGTTTTCTTTGTTTTGGGTACGGGTATTGTGGATATATTCGTCACCAGACTTAGCACCGACTTCACTTTTAAGTGATGATTTGACCTTGTGGTGGTTCTGCCCAAGGGGAAGTGCCCCTAAAGAACTTCTGACCCGATTTCGCCTTCCCTGGCTTGCCCTGGTTGCTGCAAGCGGCAGCGGAGGCCAGAGCAATGTGACTGGAGACAGCAATGCATTGGCGATTTTGCCACTGACACAGAACTAAAGCAAAATGCTTTCAACAAACCGAGTGGCGAATTGCCAGGGGCAGAGCATTTGCCGCCAGTGCCCCAAACTGACTACCATGTGTAAGTTTTTGCCGCAAAGACATAATAGCATACTACTTTTATGTGTTGAGATTCATCAGACCTCGAGAATGCAACAGAATATGTGGAGTAAATGCAACGATACAAATGTGCCTGTTATGGAGTGCCACAAAGCTATGCCATGCTTGTAGCATTGTGGCGCATCAACACTCTGGACGGGGCTTCTGGAACCCGAGCCCTGCCTACAATCGATGAGGAGAGGCGCCCGTTGTATGACGTGCTCCGCTTTGCTTTATGCGCACCTTTACGTTTTCTTGTGTTTGCTCAGTTGAGGGCACGGTGCCCAGCGTTGAAATCAACGAACACAAGGAGTTGGCCACATGTTGGTGTCCCTGTGCCACAATTGTGTTCCCCTGCCCAGCGAAACAGACACACATTGTCCACCTTCCGCTGTCGCTTCTGGCATTGCTTCGTTTCCGTAATTTTCGTTTTTGTCTTTCCCTCCCTTCGTCCTCATACGTATGTTTTATTTTAGTTTTCTCTCCTCTCGTTTTTCTTTTGACCGCCTTCCTTTCTTTGTACGTAACTTGCCTCCCTTTCCTTCCTCCGCACTGCAGCTGTGAGACATGCTTGCGGCTTCTCGAGGCAACGCGCATCTCCCGCACCATGGCGCTGCTGAGGAACCACCAGCACGACGAGCTGGCCAGCCTGGCGCGCAAGGTGAGCTGATTCCAATGCTCTCTGGGATTTCCGAAATTCCGTGTGGGTCACGCAGCACTGCCCTTGCAACTCCAGGGCGCAGAGAAGCATCCTTTTCTTAGCACTTCTTTTCTTGGTACTTTCTTGGTGCTTTCTTTTCTCAGAACCTCTTTTCTCATTACTTGAAGTACAATGCTTGTTTTTCTCTGCTTATGGAGTATTTGTCGCACTTGTGGAAATGCTGCTGAGTTCCATCCGGCCGTCAAAAAGTGCACGCCGATGGTTGGCCTTTGACCTCATTCCCTGTTTGCGCTACCCACGAGCCCACTATCATTGTGCACTGCGGTCACAGATTTTCTGTCCTGAAAATATGGACTGCAGGTAGCTGGTGTGCAAGTAAATGACAGTGGGTGGAAGGCGACCCCAGTGGGTGACCTTGCATCAACTGCGCTTTCGCCAGGCCAGCCAATCCAGCAATCCTGCCCCAGCCCAGTTTACAACCTTGATGAAGATTTGATGGGAAAATAGACAGAGCATTTCACGCCCATGCGAACTCATACATGACCGTTGAATCTCATTTGCCGTTTCTGCGTTCTTAGTTTGGTTGCTGCTGCACCGTTCAGTACATTCTGTCGTTCTCACAATCTTGGCGACTGGTGCTCAAGGTGTCCTCCAAATGGAAGAAGACTGCAAACAGGGCGCTCGTTATAGCACGGCGAACGCTGCAGCAAATGTACGGATGACGGGATCCAAGACAGCACAATAGCATAGCGCTACCTGTGGGAGGGTAGATTAGAGATGGACACACGCATAATGGAATTAGGTCAGTGAGCCTCGTCGCATCCTCGTCGCCTTGCCAAGGGGTTGATGGAGAAATCTCTGACCGAAGAGGTGCGAGCCCGGGAGAGGCAGCTGTGCCCCCAGCCTTTGCGCTTGGGCTTTTGCTTCGATACTGGTCGGAGGTCGACCATCGTTGAGAAGCCTTGGCATGGAAAAGTTCAATTGGAATGTCGAGGTCACTGAAGATCGGGGCTTCATGGCGACTTCAGAGTTCGTCACGGGGCCACAGCCCGGCGGCACGGACCCCAGGATCTCAGATGCTTCGTCTGCATCGCCAACGCCTTTGCTGGTGCATGCTGCGCGATTGTTGGAGGGGCGGATCTGCGTTTCTGGCCGGTGTGGACAAGGCCTGAGCCACGTTCCTACTGCCGCTTTGATCGATGTGCAGTGCGTGGCCAGCGGTTTGCCTACAGCCTTCTCATGCGAAGCGATCTGCGAAGATTGGGCGGGCTTGTGGCGTATGGACCATTGTATTTGAAACGATACCTGTTGGCGATATTGGTGACGGATCTGATGCGGAACTCTCGCTGTGCCATTCGTCCGTGCAGTCAGTCGATCGTAACATTATAATCGAAAGGGGTTGGTAAGCGCCTGTGCTATTCAAAACCGCCTTTTGTACGGCCCATATGCCACCCTTTCCACGGATGAGAGTTGCATCAAAAATGGCTGTAACGGACCGATTTCGTCCGATTTTGACGCGGCTCATACAACTGATGCGCAATTCCCAGCAATCCAGCAAGATTTGCACACTGAATCAGAATGCGCGGAAGCTGCCAATTCGCTCGCAATGTCTTACGTAACCAGAAGAGAAGCTGGGTCTCAGGGCTGATGCCCTGCCTTTCCTTGACCAAATCTGATGGAGCTCAACGCGACGCGCGCGTCCTTTGTGCTGCCACTGACTGCTCAGTTGGGCGATATTCGGCGCTTGTGTCTCGTACTGTGGTGGGCCCGCCAATGGTTGCGGCAGAGCGCCAATCCGAGGCAACACCGCTGCTGCTGCTCAATTTGATGGCAGCAATATTGCTGCCATCTAAAGCATCGCCAATATTGCCGATTATTCGAGGGACGGCAATTCCGAGCTACGGTTGCAGTACAGAATTCGGAGAGACGGCCGGCCTGCGGACGACCTGATTTAATGCCATGGAGGTGAGGGCCGGGCAAGTGGAGTCTGCTCCGAGATTCAATGGGGTGAGAAACATGTATCTGACATAAGAGGAATGCCCTTGACCAAGATAGCAGCAAGGCGGCGATGCAGACAGCTTCTGAGACAGTAGGAGAGCTGGGGCCCGGCATTACCGGAGCCTACACAATATAGATTGTGCAGGTCTTCTTCGCAAACAATTGTTCTGATTGGGAGTCCGTGAGCAAGTTTGGATGATTGATCAATTTGGGTCATGCTTTGGACACTGTAGAGGCTTGTGCGAGCGTTGAAAGGTGATCGAATTTGCTTGGGCATCTCTTTGTTGTGTCCAATTTTTGCCAACGCCTTTAGGCCGCTCCTGAGTGCATTCGGCGGTGTTTGTCCTTGTTTTCCTGCGGGCCGCTGCCGCACGCCATCGAGTCCGACGGCGATATTTGAGACCGGGATGGATAGGAATCTCTGACAGAGACCCTTTCAGAGTTTGGCACCACAAGTTGCACCTTCACACCACACCACACCCGACCACACGACTCCAGGTTGCAGAGCACTGGCCTTGCACCCAACCAGCAGGTTTGCAGGCTCCCTGCTGACTGGTGGAACGCCTTGTGGACACAGCAGTCCCGTTCCTTTTGGGTAAGCTGTCCATCAGGGCGCATCCCAGACCTTGGTGGAATGAGACCCTTTCCCACAAGAACACGCCTTTCCAGCGATGCCAACTGCGATGCCATTTGACATTAAGTGATGCCTTCCACAAAAAGGGCCAAATAGCGCGTGTTCAAACGTGTACAAGCTTATGGGTTTGGGTTATTTTTGTGTTCTTAACATGCAGAAAATTGATAAATGCATTCCATTTGTGTTCGCAAAAAGTGTTATTTGGTCCTTTTCCTCTTTAGTGTTCACAGCTACTTGGATCCCATGGCGGTCACTGTCATGGGCCATGATGTTAAGTGGCGCCATGACTCATGGCGCCACTTAACATCAATATGGCATCACAGTGGGCATCGCCCAAATGGTGTCCTCCGCCAGCACTTGCGATGCATCAGGCCCCCAGGAATGGAGGAGATCTCCAAGGGCCGGCAGTCAATGTGACTGATCAGTTGCTGACTGAAGGGCCCATGTGCCACTGCACGTCTTGCAGTCGGCATCTCGGGGCGACCAGCCATGCTCGTGAACAAACTCCGTGGATTCAAACGCAAACCCGTGCTTGGGACCGCTGCCCCACTTGGCCAGTTTGGTTCAAGGGCTTCTGCTTTGTCGCATGACAAGTGCCACTGGCCATGACGCAGGTTGCCGATCTCGAGCGGTGGTGTGTGAGCTAAGCGGTCGTGGAGGGCCGATGACACAGGATTTCGGGAACATCTGCAATCAGGCACCCTCGAGTCCGTCCTCCCCTGGGGAGGCTGCTTGGTTCGGATGGCCGCTCATCCAACCGCCCAACGACGGGACTCCCCCGAGGAAGATCCTCGAGCCTCGACCACCACTTCCACCCTTGGCAAAACCGCCGTGTCATGCAAGCAAAGCGTCGTACACGTCAGACCCCCCCATTACATGAGGCGCACAGCGCCTGACGCGGAGCAAACGCGACGCCCACCCCCATTACAAACCTGGTGCAACCGTCGGCGTCACATCACCCGCCGTGGCCCAGCCTTACCGACCCCTTGGGCCCAGCCGCAAGCCCACCTTCCCCTCGGGTCCGCCACGATATCGCTCCGCCTCCCTGGACTACCCCTCGGGGGCAACGGAAAGGGCATTCCACTCCCTTAAGTACCGCCCCACCCAACAAGGGGTTGCCGTGTGCTGACCTGTGCATGACGCGCCACCACCGGTGCGAGGCCTGCCGAGGCCTTAACATCCAGCCCCTTGCGCCTCGCCACGCATACTGTGATACACGACCCAAGCCCATGGCAAACCGCAGCGCAGAAGCACTCAGCCCACGCTTTCTGTAGCCGGCACAAACTTCCTACGAGTTGAAGGGGTCAACCGCCGTGAGCTCATTCCTCACCTGACTTGCGCTGATCGCCGAGGGCCATCGCGGGTGGGATACTTGCCACGGGGCGTGTGCGCCCGCATCGGAGTGGCTGCTCGGCAGCTCGACATAACGGCGCCGTCATGGCCCGGGCGGCCGGGGCGATCGCGCTGCTGGCGGGGGCGCTGCTGCCGGTGGCGAAGGCCCAGGTGAGCGGGAAAGGGGACCCATCGAAGGTGCGGGCGCGACCCGGCCATCGCGGATTCCCCCACTTGGATTCCTGCCAGCCCCCTTGGTGCGAACCCGCCTGTGAAAGACTGCATGGATCTGAGGCGCCCTGATTTGGAAGCAGAGGGATCGGGCCAATCGCGTGGAGTGCCGCGCGCTAAAAAATGGAACCTTCTGGCGACGCAACGGGGTATGGCGGGCCTGCCGCCACTGCCGGCGGGCCCATTGTTCCACTGGCCTGGCACCCGGCAGCTCCCCGCGCCTTCTCGCTCGCACCCCTCGAATCCGGCGCGACGTGAGGCCTCCCGTGGCGCCGCGCGCCGCGCGGCATCTCGTCCGATCACCGTGCTCGCCGAAGGGGCAGATCCCTCTGACCGCCGCTCGTGTCGTCCCGCAGGGCTTCTTCTCCGACAACCGCTGCAACGAGGAGAACGGGACAGGTGAGGCCACGCCGGGCGTCCGCACGCGTCCCAGGCGGACGGCCCCTCGCCCCGGCCGGAAGCCGCAAGCTGTGCTTCCCCACTTCCCTCCCCTCCTTCCAGTACATTCCCCTCCCCCCGTTCAGCCACAACCCCCTCGGCCCCCCACCCCCCGTTCCCCCACAACCCCCTCTTCACATGGAATAATTCCGCTTTCTCTTCCGACGAAACAATTCGGCTTTCTCTTCCCCATCAGGCTGCGCCCAGAGCTCCTCGCCAGCCCTGGAAGACAACGGCAGTGTCGTGGGCTTCGGCATCGTCACGGCCATCATCATCCTGGTCGTGGCCAACTTGGTGATCTGCATCGCGCGCTGCTTGCTAGCTCCCGCGCAATCCCAGACCGCCGCCGCGAGGCGCCGGTCCTCAGCGCGCGAACTACCCCCCGTCCGGAGGATCTACTCCCTGAAGCCGGTGTACGTCATGAACCCCGGCGGCAGCCTGAGGATCGGCAAGCAGGAGTCGAAGAACAAGGGCGGGGCGGGGAGGGGGGGCGGGGCGAGCGTGGCGGACCTAGCCGAGCGCGGCATGGCGCAGGGCCCGCCGGAGGCGTCCGGGGAGCATCATGGGGCCGCGGAGGGAAGCAGGGAGGACGCCGCCGAGGAAGTGTGAGACATCGCGATTTGGCAATCCGGGTTTGTTCCCGAGAGCGTTGTGAGGAGGAAGGAAATGGGCATCGGCCCGCGACGGAATTCTGCCGAATGGAAATGGTTTGGGGTCATTTCCTCCGACCCCTCCCCTCCCAGCCGCGAGGGCTGGGAATTTTGGCGTTGAGCCGATCTGTGGGCCACCCCGGCAGCCCCCCCCGTTGGGGTGCCTTGCGGGGCGGGCGCCTGCCGCCCCCTGCGCTGTCGAGGGGCCACGCCCTCGACCGTCGCGAACGAGTTGCTCCGAAGCGAGCAAAGGCAGTTGTTTTCTTCGGCGATGGGTCTGTTGCTGTGGATTCAAATTTTGGGTTGCCTTGGCCATGGCCCTGTGGATTGTGGGCAGAGATGCAGCAACATAGTGCGCCCACCACAGGGCAGAGGCGAGAGGGAATAGGCAGTTGATAGCGTCAATTTCGGGCAGGACAGAATCCAAACTATCGCTCGCTGCCGGATTGCTTCCAACAGGCATTGGAACGAGGGAAACTATTAATGCTGGTGCATTTGTGGGCGCCTTTGCGCCACGCCTCTGTGGCGAACTATTAACTGCTGGCTAGTTTTGTGGGGGGAACCTGTGAGAGCGACGACACATTGGCTGGCGGATTCTCGCTGTGTATATTAAATTCTCAATCACTTGTTGTAACAACGTGCACACACACCATTGCTTATTCAAGTGCTGTGTTTCGTTTGCGTGGGCCTAATTGATGATCTAAAAGCACACAGCAGACAGGCACTCTTTACTTGTGGCAGTCCATGTCAGCTGATTAACAGGAACAACAATTATCCTGCCAACATCCAGGCAGGTGCGGACATCGCACACCTTAACACACCGCTGCGGGTGATGGAAAGGGGATGCGTTGCTGCGCACAAGGCTCGCAGAGGAAGAGCAGACTGGCACAGTGACTACCAAGATGCACACACATGGACGGGTGGATGAACAGGCAAAAGGCTGTCGAAGTGCATGGAGGCAACAGGGGTTGAAGAGGAGGCAGCTAAAGACTCCCCTAAAACGTGATGTGAATTGTGTATACTATAATATATACTTCCTCCGTCCCAGATTAATTGTCGTCTGTTTGAAAGGCTAAATTTGTTATAAAAGGACAGCCTCAGAATTTCAAAACAAGGTCAAAATCGAAAAGATTGCGTCTCGAACCCCTTGACTATCAATTTTTAAGAAGGAAAAGTGGGACATGACCCTTTTGAGCATAAGGCGAGGGTAAATTTTGGTCATTTTTGACTCCAAATATTGAGATTCACTATGTAAAAAGACCCTTGATACAAGTACTGCCAAATCCTCAATACTTAATGGATTGACTTGAAATTTTTATGGTGTACTCATAACTCAAAAACACAACGGTAGGTGAAATTTTATTGAAAACAGGTGCAGGCATGATGGAGAAATAATGCATCAAAATCATAGACGGAGGAAGTAGTATATTATATATTATATATACTATACAAAGTCAGTCAGCCTTGGGAATGCGCACAAACAAAGCACAAAACTAGCGGCAGGGGCCCTCAAGCTGCATGGCCCGCCATGAAGTTTCGAAACGTCAAAACTGTTCTTGCGCGTATGAGCGCATTTTGCCTACAAACATTGTTCAATCCTTGTCCACCCATGGACTCTCGGAGTGGCGCATTCCCGAATGGACGGCCAACGATGAGGGGGCCTGGAGCTTACGCACTGGCGAAGTAGAAATTCTGGTCACCATGCCAGCCCCTAGTGCTGATGTGAACGCCTTTCCGACCTCACGCTCAGGTCGCCATCAGTGTGAAAATCAAAACGGAACGGTTGCCTGCTTGGAGCCTGCCAGCCGCCCAATCCACCTTCGCTTGCAACTGTGGAACAACCTCCAAGCCCAGTCCATCTACCCTGCCCCACCGCCTCCCACCCATCATGCACCTCCAGGCAACCCAAAACATCCCCGCCTCTCAATGGACCACCCACCACACAAGTTGAACGAGCATGGTCCCGAAGAGGGCCTGAAAGCGTGGAACCTCCCAGGAGACGACGAGGCGGAATCGAAAGAGCAGGAGACGGAATCGGAAGAGGGAGAGACGGAATCGGATGAGCAGGAGATGGGATCGGCAGAGCAGGACGAGGACGGGGCCAGCGTTCGGGCCGCGTCCGCGCCCACACCCCCACGAATGACGTCACGCATCCAGCCCAGCCCCAGCGGATGACGTCACACCTCACCCCACCACGGGGAACAAATGCCCACTTCGGGGACGCTGCCCTTCACTCCCACTCTGGCATCGCGTCATCCGCCGCCGGGCCCCACGTCATCGCCCGCAAGCAGACGAGGCAGACAGGCGACCGGCCCCGTACTTTAACACCCCAGCGGTACATTTCTCCGTTTGTGCGGTACCTGTACGCCCAAAGCCCCCCAACCCTACGGCCATCCTCTGCTGGAAACGCACCGACTTGGCATCACGGGCGACGCGGAGGCGCTGGAGGAACCGCCCGGAGTAGCGCACAGAGCCAGGGGCGCCGCGCCCTCAACTCCCGACCCCACAAAGCACCCTCGCCCAGGGCCGCGCACCGCGCCCGGCCGTTCGGCAGCCTCGACAAAGTCTCGCGCAACGACGACTCCACTCGAACTCCGAAGTCGTCAGCGGCAGCCCTCCTCGCAGGACTCCAAATCCAGGCGCTCCAGGCCCGGCAGCGCGCGGCGTAGCTCCGCCACGCCGCCCTCCACGCCCGCGCACGACTGCACCCTGAGGGCGCTCAGCCGGCGCAGGGCGCTCAGCTGGCCGATCCCCCGGTCCGTGATCCCGCCGCAGTACCTGAACGACAGCGCCGCCAGGCCCGCCATCCCCCCCAAGAACGGCACGTCCTCGTCCCTCAGCCCCGGCAGGATCGCCAGGTGCAGCCTCGTGACGGCGGAGAGGGCCGGCATCGCCTCCCACGCCGACCTCGCTATCTGATTCATCGCCTCCAGGTCCAGATGCCGCAGCGACGCGATCGCGCCCAGCCCAACGACGTGCTCGCCCCGCAGCTCGTGCATGTATCCCAACGTGACCTTGCCCAGCCGGGAGAGCGGCGCCAGGGCCTTGAGGCCATCCCCCCCCATGTGGCCGAAGTGCTCCAGCTGGAGGTCCGTGAGTCTGCGGCATGCCGTCAGGGCGCCCAACCCGGCGCTGCTGATCGCCGTGGAGCCCGACGCGGAAGTCACCGGAAATTGGATCCGGGGCTTGAGGTGCGGCGCCAGGCGCAGGCGGGACAGGCGGGGCAGGGCGGCGACCGCGGCCAGCCCGGAATCGGTCACGGATCGGCATCCCGCGAGCTGGAGGTCGGTTAATCCCGGCATGGCCGCCAGGGAGGCCAGCAGGTCGTCCGTGACGCCCGGCCCCTTGAGGACCAGAGCCCGGAGGCTGGTGAAGGAAGTGACTTGCTGCAGGGGCTCGTGACCGCATGCCGACAGATCCAGGCTTGTGAGGGATGGGAACGCTGATGAGGCCACGCGGACGATTTCTGCCAGCGGGGCGCCGCGGGGGGCCAGGCGGATCACGCAGGCGTCCACGCGGCCGCGCCAGTGGGAGTTGACGAGACGCAGGGGGGCCAGGGGGCCCGGCTCGCCGCGGGAGGCTGCCAGGCAGTGGGCGACGAGGGGGGAGAGGACGTCGGGCGGCGCGGCGTGCCAGGCGGAGGGGGGCGGGTCGGGCCGTCGGTGGGCGCCGGTCAGGGTGAGGAGGAGCCCCTGCGGGGGGGAGGCACACACCAGGGGGGAGGGGGGTTAGGGCAGCGAATCGCCGTGAAAATCACGGAAATTGGACAGGAATTGGCGAGAAATAGCGAGAAATGGGGAGAAATGGCGAGAAATGGCGAGAAACTACCGCGAAATGGCGGCAAACTGGCGACAAATGGGCGGAATTGGAGAAAGACAGGAAATGGGGGGCCGCTCCCAATACGGACTGCACAGACAGGGACCGTATGTGTTGGTAAGCCCCAAACCCTGGCGCCCAAACCCTCAGCCCTAACGCCAAAACGCGCAGCGCCAACCCGTCTCCGTCCGCGCCACCGCCTCCACATGCTTGGTCTGTGTGGGGAGCATTGTAACGTCCATTGTGAATGCGTCCGCAGCTTTGTTTTGCATTCGTTCGGGAAGTTTTCATGCAAAATCACGCAAGTCCGTTCATACATAACTAGAAACTGCACGTGATGACAGCGCCATGACATGACTTTCATGGGGATTCCCTCTTGAGTGTGTTGCCGTTTGTGGACTTATGCACATTGTGTGTCCTTGATGCTGTGAGGGGTGTGGTTCTTTGCCGAACACACTGAGGTCAGTGTAGACCGTTAGCGAGGGGATGCTGTCTGACTATCGGAGCAATATGAGTTATCTGAGCAGAGACACGCAACATGGCCAATGTGCCGAATTGTCACATTGTGTGTAAAGATATTCATTCATTCATTTATGACACGGCCATGGCCCACAGTTCCTATTTTTGCTTTTTGGCTTTCGTTCAAGACGTGTGACATATGTCGTGTGTTGTTCGCTAAAGCGCGGGAACCGTACTTGGTTGTGCTTCGCAGAATCAGGCGAGCCAAGACACCCAAGGTGGAGAAGAGTCCCAATTTCATGACAGAAAGTGCCATTGGGATTGTGCATCGTTTGAAATTGCGGAATGGCGAAATTGTCTGAAGTTTGAACGCCTGAACTTTGTGAACGGCAAGCCCACATCCGCTCGCTTATATATTCGCTTCATCAATCGACGTGAGACAAGACGTATAGTCGTTCGCGTCCTTCCAGGTGTCAGGGCTGCGGTGCCCCATGCCATGGCAAGTCCACGAAAGCTGGCTGGGCAAAACGCTTGGCCTTCCGCAATCGAAAAGGCAGTACAAGACAACAAGGCGGCATGATTAGCTTTTGTTTGTGCAGCGTTGCTGTTAACCTTACGCCTGTGCACCAACAGAGAATCTTCACAGTTCGATAGACAACAGAATTCGGGAGGGGCGCGAGTGGG